AAAGAAAATTATGTTATCAAACGTGTTTTTTTTGTGGAAAACGTTGTTATCGTACATTTGTTCCCCTGAGAAAACTTTGTTGTCGAAGATTCTTTCTTTAGAAAACGTTGTTATCGAACATCTTTTCCAAAGAAAATAATTTAATCGAAATATTTTTCTATAGCAAACTTAGTTTTGCAGAGAAAATATTTTTATCGTAATATTTTTCTACCATGTTATCGAAAATGTTATCTATAGAAAACGTTGTTATCGAACACGTTTCTATAGAAAACAATGTTATCGAATGATGTTTGTAAAGTAATAATTGTTATCGATAAACGTTTCTATTGATATTGTTTATCGATATCGATTGTATAAAAAATTTATTTATCGAATTTTTTTTTAAATATTTTCCGATGATTTAAAAAAAAAATATTTATCGATTTTTCATAAAAAATTATTAAATGGTGAATCGATAATATCGATTACATTTTTTAATTATCGAAAACGTTTTCTATTAGAAAAAATGACGTATATTGGTTTTTATCGTTTTTTTTAATCCGCTATTTTAACCTCTATATAATCGAATAAATAAACACTGCGATTTTTTTCACGCTTGTATTAATTGTCACAATATTGAAAATAATATGACAAAAAATACGTTTTAATTACTGAGTTTCAATGTTTGCTTTCAGTTGTCACTCTCTCCCAATCTTCCACACTCTCTTTGTTTTTCCTCCCAATAGTAATTCAAGCATCAATTTGTTGTAAATATTTATACAATTAATTAAATATCGTTTTAGTTTAAAATAAATGTCATCATCGATCAGTGATCATCAGGTTATGAATAACAAAAATCGATATGTATTATATTTCCGTACACACAGTCACTGATCTTTACGATTAAAATTGAAGGCATTTCAAATTAAAAATAATAATGAAATTTTTAAAATTCCCCAGTAGCAGATGCCTGGTTTTTCGGGAAATAGTAAATAAAAATAAAATAAATAAAAACAAATATTGTTTTTAACAAATTGAAAAAGATCACGTTTTGTAAAATTATTTTGTTTTTTTTCTCTTTTTTGTATGGAAGTCAGTAAAACAAAATTATTCCCGTGATTTGAATATTTATGCATGCATGCAAACACTCTCTCACACACACACATGTACACGATTGATCACATCTGGCAGTCGACTAGGAAATAACAATTCTTAACGGAATTTCCTTTGCATCAGAAAATTGGATAATAATTACAAATTTCCCTTTTGTCTTCTTCTTTTTCTATTTATAGCCTAACGGAAATTCCCCAAGAGTAAGTTGACATATCGCCTAGCCCTTTAATGATAATTGAATTGTCCTACTTGTGCTGCTGCTTCTTCTTCTTCTTCTCGACCATGAATTTACATTGAACTGTTATCAAAATAACAGTTATTTTTTTGTTGTTTTTGTTATGCCTTTTGTGTATTTGAACAATTGTTTTGATTTGAAGTTTTTACGTCAAATCAATGAATGTTGACATACTTGTAACGGGCATGGTATTGACAAGTGTAATGACACTTGGATTCGTTCTCTTGAAAACAAAAAATAAAATAAAATGAAGTTGAAATTAAATATTTATCGAACAGTAAAACTACAAGGACATGATGATTATGGCTTGTTTATATTCTAGAAGTTGTATATAATTAAATGGGTTCTAGTAAAAAATTTCAATTCAGCTAACAGCTGAATACATTTTTTTTGTGAGAAATAATAAACTCCACTTAGCTGAATTGGTGTTCCAATAGAAAATCACTAATTCAGCTAAGCTGAATTGGAGTTACGATAGGAAATCTCTTATTCAGCTTAGCTGAATTAGATTTCCAATAGAAAATTTTCAATTTAGCCTAGCTGAATTAGAGTTCCAATAGGAAATCTTCAATATTGCTTAGCTGAGTTAGAATTCAAATAGAAAATATTCAATTTAATCCAGCTGAATTAGGGTTCCAATAGGAAATCTTGAATTTTGTGTAGCTGAATTAGAGTTCCAATAGGAAATCTCTAAATCTGCTAAACTGAATTAGATTTCCAATAAGAAATTTTTAATTTAGCTTAGCTGAATTAGCGTTCCAATAGGAAATCTACAATTCTGCTTGGCTGAATTAGAGTTTCAATAGAAAATTTTCATTTTAGCTTTGCTGAATTAAAGTTCCAATAGGACATTATCCACTTTAGCTTTATTTGTAGTAGCCAAATTGGGATTATTGGAAGATTTTTTAAAATTTTCTTAGCTAAATTGGAAATGTGGAGGGAAGTCTTTTATTTAACTTATACAAATTAGAATTCCTATAGAAAATCTTTCATTAAACATAGCTGAATTAGAGTTTACTTATAAAATCTTCAATTCAGCATAGCTGAATATGAATATTGGTAGAAATTTTTCAATTCAGCTTAGTTAAATTAGAGTTCCGAGCGAAAATCTTCAATTCTGCATTGCTGAATATGAGTTATGGTAGACAATTTTCCATTCAGCTTAGCTAAATTGTAAATGAATTACAATTTCTTTGGATAAAGTTGTGCTGAATTGATTTTCCATTAGGAAAATTTCCATTATCCTTAGCTGAATTAATATTTCAGCAGAATATCTTCAATTTTACTTAGCTGAATTCGATTTTGTTCATTAAATTTTTTACTTTGAGTATGCTAAATTAAAGATTTTTCATCGGAAATCTAATTCAGCTATGATGAATTGAAGATGCCTTAATAAAACTCTAATTCAGCTCAGAAAAAATTAACATTTCATTAAGAATCTGCAATTCAGCTAAGCCGAGTTAAATACTTTCAATCAGAAATCTAATTTAGCATAGCTGAATTGAACATTTTCTATTGAAACCCTAATGCAGCTATGCTGAATTGAAGATTTTCCATCGAAAATCTAATTTAGCATAGCTGAATTGAAGATTTTTTATTGAAATTCTAATTCAACTATGCTGAATTTAAGATTTTCTATTAAAATTCTAATTTAGCCTAGCTGAATTTAAGATTTTCCATCGGAACTCTAATTCAGCTATGCTGAATTTAAGATTTTCCACTGGAACTCTAATTCAGCTATGCTGAATTTTACATTTTCCATCGGAACTCTAATTCAGCTGTCCAAAATTAATGATTTCTTAACTTAGATCTAATTCAGCTGTGCAAAATGGAAAATTTTATTACGAAACTGCATAGTTGAATTGTAGATATTCTATTGAAACCCTAATTAAGAATTTAAGATTTTCCACCGGAACTCTAATTCAGCTATGCTGAATTTAAGATTTTCCATGGGAACTCTAATTTAGCCTAGCTGAATTTAAGATTTTCCACCGGAACTCTAATTCAGCTGTGCAAAATCGATGATTTCCTAACGGATATCTAATTCAGCTGTGCAAAATTAAAAATTTTATTACCAAACTGCAAGTCAGCTAAACCGAGTTGAAGAATTTCAATCGGAACTGTAATTTAAAGTTGGTGAATTGAAGATTTTTGTATTTTCCTTAGCTGAATTGGCATATCAGCTGGAAATTTTCTATTCAGCTTAGCTGAATTAAGTTTCCATTCGAAAATTTTCAATTTTACTTAGCTGAATTGATTTTCCATTAGAAAATTTTCAAATTTTCTTAGCTGAATTGGCATATCTGCTGGAAATTTTCTATTCAGCTTAGCTGAATTGATTTTCCAATAGAAAATGTTCAATTTTTCTTAGCTGAATTGATTTTCCATTAGAAAATTTTCAAATTTCCTTAGCTGAATTGGCATAACTGTTGGAAATTTTCTATTCAGCTTAGCTGAATTGTTTTTTTTTTTTAAATCTTTTCATTTCGGCTTTGCTGTTTAACATGTCTATTGGAGAATTTTTCAAATTTCCTTTTTGCTGAATCAATAGCAAAGCTGATTTTTAATAACATTTAAAAAAAAATCACTTTAAAAATTACCCGGATTTTGTAACCCGCATAACTTGGGTACATTACCTGTTGTAACATGCTGTGTTTTATTTTATTTTTTTTTTGGTTATTTGGGGGAATTACTTCTTTTATTTTGGGTTATTTGTCCAAGGGGGTTCCCCCACCCCACCGAGCTTATAAATTATGTTACAACTCCTTACAAGGTGATATGTAATCAAAGGTGTCCCCATGGCATGGCATGCCATGGCTTGACATTCAATTTCTTTAATTCATGTAATCGCCTGTGTGTGTGAAACTGTTACTGTTTTTGTTTTTGCCCCCTATCCAAATCTCACTCTTCCTCAAACAGACAAAAAAACTGACATATGTAACACTCCATGTGGTCACTCACCACCCTCTCTCTCGCTCACACTCTCTAACTGAACAGCCCCCATTTCAATTGATATCACACAGATAATAACATCAACAACAACAACTATTTGCAACAGCACACAAAACCTCAACGGCAAAAAAAGTACTTAAAGCGGAGAGACAATTTTAGCACAACACTTAGTGCGACAACAACAATAGCCCGAGTAACTGACTGACTGACGTTTAATGTGACAACCAGCAAGTGTAAAAACAAGTAGACAAAACAAAAAAATAAAACTCTGTTACTATAAACGAAGTAATCGTGCAAAATTGTCAAAACACGATCATTCATACTTCTACTCGCGTCTCTGCCGCGAACCAACAACGTTGTGAACTTTTTTTCTCCCTCAATTTACAACAAAAACGAAAATATTTATATGGACTGCATATAAAAGTCTCAAATCTTTCTACAATTAGAAGTATTATACGGCTGACCGCCGATGTCAGTCGGTCGTGCAAAAAATACTAAATTTTTATTCTCGGGGATTTATCAATTTTGTTTTTCTTAAGGGGGGACTGAAATAAATTTTTATTAAATAAAATAAAAAAAAATATATTTTTTTTTAAGTTAAAAAAAAATATAGAAAAAATATAAAAAATAAATTAAAAAAATACAAAAATTAAATCTAAGTGAATAACCAAAAAAAATAATTAAAAAAAATAAAATTACAATGATTACCCGACGCCAACTCCTTCGGCCCTTGAGGCTTTCGTTGTTATTGTTCCTGCTGAATATCTGTTATACGCCCACCACAATTAATGCACGCAGTTTTTACAGTGATAATTCCATACAGAAACGGGATTATCAAAATGAAATTGAAGCATGGTAAGCAGATTTTGACATTGAATCACCATGACCAAGAAGAAGAAGAAGAAAAAAAGAATTGATAATAATAAAACGCAAAAGAAAGTGACATGTCATCAAAAACAAAACGAAATAAAAAGAGTGATTACAATTTTCCTAAAAAAAAAAATAAACTACAATTCAGCAATGTAAAAATTGAAAATGTACCATGAGATATACAATTCAGCTTAGCTGAATTGGAGATTTACGATCGCAAAACATTATTCATCTAAGCGGAATTGAAGAATTTCAAGCGGAAATCATATTCAGCTAAGCGGAATTGAAGAATTTCAATCGGAACACAAATTCAGCTAAGCGGAATTGAAGAATTTCGTCGAAAATCATATTCAGCTAAGCTGAATTGAAAATTTTCTATCGGAGATTTAATTTAACTGTGCAGAATTAAAGATTTCCTCAGGGAATTCGTATTCAGCAAAGCGGAATTAAAGATTTACGTTCAATATTCAAATTCAGCTAAGCAGAATTGAAGAATTTCGGTCGAAAATCATATTCACCTAAGCTGAATAGAAAAAATTCCAGCGGAGATTTAGTTTAACTGAGCTGAATTGAGAATTTCCTTAGGGAATTCGTATTCAGCTAAGCAGAATTAAAGATTTACGATCGCAACACATTATTTAGCTAAGCGGAATTGAAGAATATCAATCGGAACAAAAATTCAGCTAAGCGGATTTGAAGATTTTCAAGCGGAAATCATATTCAGCTAAGCTGAATTCGTTCGGAATTCAAATTCAGCTAAGCGGAAATTGAAGAATTTCGATCGAAAATCATATTCAGCTAAGCTGAATTGAAAAATTGCCAGCGGAGATTTAATTTAACTGTGCAGAATTGAAGATTTCCTTAGGGAATTCGTATTCAGCTAAGCTGAATTAAAGATTTTCGTTCAAAACTCAAATTCAGCTATGCAGAATTGAAGAATTTCGGTCGAAAATCATATTCAGCTAAGCTGAATTAAAAATTTTCTATCGGAGATTTAGTTTAACTGAGCTGAATTGAAGATTTCCTTAGGGAATTCGTATTCAGCTAAGCGGAACTCTAATTCAGCTAAGCTGAATTGAAAAATTACCAGTGGAGATCTAGTTAAACTGAGGTGAATTGAAGATTTGCTAAAGGAATTAGAATTCAGCTATGCTGAATTGATATTTTCCTAAGGGAATTCCAATTCAGCTAAACTGAAATAAAGATTTCCTATAGGAAACCCAATTCAGCTAACCGAAATTGACCATATTCTCTTGGAAATGTAATTTAGCTAATCGGAATTGATGAATTTCGATCGGAACTCTAATTCAGCAAAGCAGAATTGTGAAATTGCTATCGGATATATATATATATAATTCAGCTAACCGCAATTGAAGATATTCTTTTAAACATTTAATTTTATTAACCGGAATAGAAGAACTTTCATCGGAAGTCTAATTCAGCTAACCGGAATTTTCGGCTTTCGATCGTAATTCGTATTCAGCTAAGCTGAATTGAAAAATTGCTATCGGAAATCTAGTTCAGCTTAGCCAATCGGAATTGAAGGTTTTTGGTCGAAAATCGTATTCAGCTAACCGAAATTTAAGATTTTCGAATAGAACTTCAATTCAGCTAAAGAGAAATCAAGATTTCCCAACGGAAATCTCATTCAGCAAAGCTATGTTGATGAAACAAATCTGGTGGGATGACTCACTGGCAAATCACAGCTTAACAATCTCACACGACATGCGTTTTATACACATGCACACACACACTCAGTTTCTTACGTCGAAAACAATATTCAATTAAACAATTATAAATAGAGCAGCAATTATTAGCAGAGAGCAAGAGAGCTTAGCTGTTATGGGGTCTTTAGCCCCATAACAATAACAAATGAATACCGGTACTGTATTAAAACGCATGAAATTAAGAAATGTCAAACACACACATACATACACAGACATTGTTATAGGTCTAATTGCCTTGACATTGAATGTTTTTGTTGTTTTTTACTTGCTGCTCCGAAAGTGTGTCATTTGACATTTTGTAGAGATATGAACACTATTAAGTGGTTACAATATTTCAAATGTTGTAAAGGTCAGGTTTGATACATTGTTGAGGTGTTTTGTGTAAGAAAAATCTAATTCAGCTTAGCTGAATTAGATTTGCGATAGAAAATCTTAAATTCCGATTAGCTGAATTGGAGTTGCGATAGAAAATCTTCCATTCAGCTTAGCTGAACTAGGGTTTCGATAGAAAATCTTCAATTCAGCTTAGCTGAATTAGAGTTTCGATAGGAAATTTTCAATTCAGCTTAGCTGAATTATAGTTTCGATAGAAACTTTTCAATTTAGCTTAGCTGAATTAGAGTTCCGATAGAAAATCTTCAATTCCGATCAGCTGAATTAGAATTTATATAGAAAATCTTCAATTCCGATTTGCTGGATTGGAGTTTCGATAGAAAATCTTCAATTCCGGTTAGCTGAATTGGAGTTTCGATAGAAAATCTTCAATTCCGGTTAGCTGAATTAGAGTTTCGTTAGAAAATCTTCAATTCAGCCTAGCTGAATTAGAGTTTTGATAGAAAATCTTCAATTTCGGTTAGCTGGATTAGAGTTTCGATAGAAAATCTTCAATTTCGGTTAGCTGAAATAGTGTTCGGAACGGAAATTTTCAATTCAGCTCAGCTAAATTAGAGTTTCTATAGACAATCTTTAATTCAGCTTAGCTGAATTAGAGTTGCGATAGAAAATCTACAATTTAGCTCAGCTGAATTAGAGTTTTGATTGAAAATCTTCAATTCAGCCAGCTGAATTAGAGTTTCAATAGAAAATCTTTAATTCCCGTTAGCTGGATTAAAGTTCTGACCGAAAATTTTTAATTCAGCATAGCTAAATTAGAGTCCCGACAGAAAATTTTCAATTCAGCTTAGTTAATTTAGATTTCCATTAAGAAATCTTCAATTCAGCTGAGCTGAATTAGTGTTTAGAGGGAAAATCTTCAATTCAGCTAAGCTGAATTAGTGTTTGGAAAGGAAATCTGCAATTTAGTTTAGCTGAATTACATTTTCGATAGCAATTTTTCAATTAACCTTAGCTGAATTGTAGTTCTACTAAAAATTCTTCAATTCAGCTTAGATGAATTAGAGTTTCATTATGAAATCTTCAATTCAGCTTAGATGAATTAGAGTTTCATTATGAAATCTTCAATTCAGCTTAGATGAATTAGAGTTTCATTATGAAATCTTCAATTCAGCTAAGCTGAATTTCAATTTCAGTTCAAAATATTTAGCTTAATACGATTTTTACATTAAATTTCTAATTTTTACAACATTTTTCTATGTTTTCCAGTCAAATCTACTGCAATGGCGAACTTCTGCACACCGTACAGATGGCCCATTTGTTTGCCGATTCCAAAACTTTTGTCGACATGAAACTCAAGAATTCCCCAGCTGAGACTATCGCCAAATTCCAAACATTTATGGCAGCTAAAAATAACGCCCCCAGTCAGGATGATGTTCGAGAATTTGTAGAGGCTAACTTTGATGATTTGGGTAAAGAATTTGTACCATGGAATCCGGACGATTGGGTCGAACATCCCGCCTTCATTGATCACATTAACGATCCAGACCTGAAACAATGGGGTGTCGATTTGAATGCCATTTGGAAGGATTTGGGTCGGAAAATGATCGATGATGTCCATGTCAATCCCCATTTCTATTCCATAATTCCCGTTGATAATCCGGTCATTGTTCCCGGTGGCCGCTTTATTGAATTCTACTATTGGGATTCGTACTGGATCATTCGTGGCCTACTCTACTCTCAAATGACCCATACGGCCCGTGGCATGTTGGAGAATTTCATGTCGATTGTTCGGAGATTTGGTTTCATACCCAACGGTGGTCGTATCTACTATGCTCAACGTTCTCAACCTCCACTTCTGGCAGCCATGATCAAGTCCTATGTCGAATTCACCAATGACACCCAATTTGCGACCCAGTCACTGGAGGTATTGGAACATGAATTTGAATATTGGATGAACAATCACACGGTCCAGGCTAAGGGTTATAATGTGTGTGCCTATGGTGGTATATCTCCCGGCCCACGTCCCGAATCCTATCGTGAAGATATCGAAACATCTAAGTCCTTTGCAACCGATGCTGAAAAGGAAGAACACTATGCAGAGTTGAAGGCTGGCGCCGAATCTGGTATGGACTTTAGTTCTCGTTGGTTTATCAATGACAAGGGAGAGCAAACCGGAAATTTGACACATTTGAAAACTCGTTCTATTGTTCCGGTGGAACTGAATGCAATTCTTCACTGGAATGCCAAAATTATTGCTGAATTCTATAGGATGGCTGACAATTCAGCCAAGTCTGAGGAATATGAAAATAAGGCAGCTAAGATTTTAGAGGTAAGTACTAAAAACAATTCAGGAAACTGCAATTCAGTTAAGAATTTCCATTGGAACTTATGTAAACATAGCTGAATTGAAGACTTCCTATAGATATATTGAGAAAAATATATCGGAACTCTAATTCAGCTAAGCTGAATTGAATAATTCCAAGGAAAACTCTAATTCATCTAACCTAAACCTAAGAATTTCTAGCGGAACCACAATTCAGCTAAGCTAAATCGAAGAATTCTTAGCGGAACTCTAATTCAGCTATGCTGAATTGAATAATTCGGAGCGGAACTACAATTCAGCTAAGCTAAAACTAAGAACTTCTAGCGGAACCATAATTCAGCTAAGCTGAATTGAAGAATTCCTAGCGGAACTCTAATTCAGCTAAGCTGAATTGAAGAATTCCTAGGAAAACTCTAATTCATCTAAGCTAAACCTAAGAATTTCTAGCGGAACCACAATTCAGCTAAGCTAAATTGAAGAATTCCTAGCGGAACTGTAATTCAGCTAAGCAAAATTAAAGAATACATAATGGAACTCTAATTCAGTTATGTTGAAATGAAAAATTGCGGACGAAACATAAATTCAGCTTTGCTAAATGAACAAATTCCGAACGGAACTCCAATTCAGCTGAGCTGAATTGACGATTTTTGGTCGGAACTCTAATTCAGCAAAGCTATATTAAAGATTTTTGCTATGAACTATTGTTCAGCTAAGATAAATTGCAAAATTTCTATCGGAATACTATTTCAGCTAAGCTAAATTGAAGAACTCCTAGCGAAACCTTAATTCAGCTATATTGAAAAGAAACATTTTAGAAGGAACTTTAATTCAGCTAAACGAAATTTACAAATCCATAACGAAACTTTAATTCAGCTGAGCTGAATTGTAGACTTTTGATCGGAATTCCCAAAGAAATTCTAATTCAGATAGGCTGAATTGAAAATTTTCTGCAGAACTCCAATTCAGCTAAGAATTAGTTGAAGATTTCTTAACCGAACTTCAATTCAGCTATGTTAAATTGAAGATTTTCCATCGCAACTCCAATTCAGCTAAGCTGAATTGAAAACTTTCGCTGAGATCTGTAATTCAGCTAAGCTAAATTGAAAATTTTCCAACAGAACTCTCATTTAGCTGAGCGGAATTGAATATTTTTGGAAAGAAACTGTAATTCAGCTAAGCAGAATTGAAAATTTTCCATACGAACTGTAATTCAGCTATGTAGACTTAATGATTTCCCAACGGATCACTAATTCAGCTAAGCTGAATTGAAAATTTACGATCAGAACTCTAATTCAGCTAGGCTGAATTGAAGATTTCCTAATGGAATTTTAATTCTGCTAGGCTGAATTGAAGATTTCCTAACGGAATTTTAATTCAGCAATGTTGAATAGAAGATTTTCCATCACAACTCAAATTCAGCTAAGCTGAATTGAAAATTTATGATCAGAACTCTAATTCAGCTAGGCTGAATTGAAGATTTCCTAATGAAATTTAAATTCAGCTAAGCTGAATTGAAGATTTCCTAATGGAATTTAAATTCAGCTAAGCTGAATAGAAAATTTCCAAACGGATCACTAGTTCAGCTAAGGTGAATTAAAGATTTCCTAACGGAATTTTAATTCAGCTTGGCTGAATTGATGATATGGAATGAGAACTGTAATTCAGCTTGGCTTAATTGAAGATTTCGTAACAAAACTCATATTCAGCAAACTTTTTTATTATTTGTTTATTATTTTTTTCCCATTTCCAGGCAATTGAGGCTGTCCACTGGAACGAAGAGGCTGGTGTCTGGCTGGATTATGATTTGATCAACAACAAGCCCCGCAACTATTTTGTACCCACAAATTTGGCCCCCTTGTGGACCATGTCCTACAATCTCAGCGATACAGAGAAAATATCGCAATCGGTTTTGAAATATATTGAAAAATTGGAATTGGATAAATATCCTGGTGGTGTACCAAATACCCTGTATCGTACCGGAGAACAATGGGATTTCCCTAATGTTTGGCCACCAATGCAATATTTGCTGATAAAGGGTTTGGAAAATTTGGGCACACCCGAATCGAAGGAATTGTCAACGAAATGGGGTCATCGTTGGGTTAAATCGAATTTTAAGGCCTACAGTGAGACAAGGGCCATGTTTGAGAAGGTAGGTTGAAGGGCGGGTGGGGTTTTTTTCTTTGAATTTTATTAATAAAATATTTGTATTGGTTTTTACAGTACGATGCCGAACGTTTTGGCGGCCATGGCGGCGGCGGTGAATATGATGTACAAAAAGGCTTTGGCTGGTCCAATGGTGTCATCATTGAGTTCCTTGATAAATATGGCCGTGATATTACATTGCCTAGTAGCAACCCGGGCAATGATGGAGGTATTTCCAATACAACTGCAGATATATATTAAAGAAAATATATATTGCGATATAAATTATGTCTAGCGCTCAACTTGTTCTACATAACATCTCCCCAAAAAAAATGAAACAAAAACATTCAATCGGCTCAGCTCTGTGTCTTGTATTCATTAAAATCAAGAACAATAAAACACATTTGTATTATTCGCCACACCTTCACTTAAGAACAACAACAAAATCTACAAAAAAAAACAACAACAATCTTCTTATATTACATATATCAACATTAATTGATGATGATGTAAAAGCAATTTATACCACAAAGTTGTGTTTGTTCCTGTTTCGCGCCAAAAAACAAAATATCATCAAAACAAAACATGTTGCTGTGTACCTATCTCCTCATATGACTCGCATCATTACAAAAACGTTACTTTCGCTCGCGCTCTCTCTCTCTCATCACATAGAGAAAGAAAGCCTGATCATCTGTCTCACACTCACCGTAAACAAAACAAAAACAATCAAGCAAAACAAAGCAAACACACAACCACCCACACCCAGCCATCAACACTCTGTGTTTACTAAACGCAGCTCATACCAACTGGGGGCTCCCCTGTAGGAAATGTCTACAGTAAATCAGTATTGACTTACTATTGACATCGTCACCAATACTGTTGACCGACTATACCCAACACAATGCATTTTACTATTGACATTTAACATGTGCTTGTCATTGGAAATGAACTAGTGACTTGGTCAGTAGTAAGTCAGTAGTTTTTAGATATAGACACAGCGTCGCATATGTGGACACGGTCAGTAGTAAGTCAATAGTTTGTATATATAGACAAAAGGTCACATATGTCACTTGTAAATTTTTTATAATTTCTTTTGCTCAAAAATTTTTTCACCAATTAATAAATTAATTTAATTATTACCATTAATAACTTTAAACTCGCGTTTTTAATAAAATATCTGTCTATTGCCGCCAACATATTTATAATTAAAGAAAAAAAGAAGAAGCATAACCATGTTCAGTTGGTTGTTAACATAACAAATGCTTCTTCTTATTACATGATATGTAGACAAGTTGTAGAAAATATGGAGACATGTCGCCACAATAGTAGACAAAGGCGATACAACACCCCACATTTCCTTCAGGGTCTCTACATTAATTGATGATGATGTAAAAGCAATTTATACCACAAAGTTGTGTTTGTTCCTGTTACGCGCCAAAAAAAAAAAATATTTCATCAAAACATAACATGTTGCTGTGTACCTATCTCTTCATATGACTCGCATCATTACAAAAACGTTACTATCGCGTTACTCGCGCGCTTTCTCTCTCTCACTCATCACATGGGGAAAGAAAGCCTGGTCATCTGTCTCACACTCAACATAAACAAAACAATCAAGCAAAACAAAGCAAGCACACAACCACCCACATCCACACTCTGTGTGTACTAAACAGAGCTCATAACAACTGGGGGCTCTCTTGACAGACAGAAAAAAGATCAAGCTCTGCTCTGCTGTTATACAAAACAAAACACAGAAGCATTTCATGAACAAACAAAAAAATCATTAAAATAAACAATTTTAAATTAAAAAAAGAAAACAAAATACCCGCCGAAAACTTATTACAATTAAATTTAATAAAAAAAGAAAACACACACATATATAGAAAACACGTATATTGTTAAAAATACCCATAAGCAAGAAAAAAATGGCGATGGACAAAAAAGATCCTTCCATATTCATCATACACACCCACGTACACACCTGTATTTGTTAATGTATGTGAACCTGCTGTTGTGGGCGTTAAAATTTCATCATTTTCACCACACGTTGATGTGTCTTAACGGACAAAAAAAGAACGGAATCTCATCTTGATTGTATGTAAGTCCATTACTTGTTTTTACGTTTTTCATTAATGTTCTTGTTTTTTTTAATTAAGAAAAAATGTGTTTAAATTAAATTTTATTAAAATGATGTGTTGTGTACAATGTTTACAGGAAAACTTAAAATGTGGAGCATAATTGGCATATCGACAATTGCTTTGGTGGCCATTATTGTGGCTAGGATGCTAATCTAAGGTGAGTTATTTGCTAGAAAAAATATTGGATAATTTTTTTAAAGAAAATATTTTTTTTTGATTTTTTTAATAGGAATTAAAATTTGAAAATTTTTTGGGACAATATAATTTTATCAGAAATTTTAGTCAAAATAATTGCATTAGAAAATATTTTTTGGAAAAAAATTAGTATATTTGGGACAAAATAATTTTATCAGAAAAGGGACAATTTTTCCCAGAAAACAAAAAAACGTAGAACATATGAATTTTTTGGGACAAATTCGATTGAAAATTTGTTAAAGAAAATAATTTCGGATTACTTTTTTTGGAATTAGAATTAAAATTGAATTAAAAAATTAATTAAATGAATGAATGAATTAAAATGAATGAAGTCTCAATAAATACAAATCAAATCAAATCAAGAAAGGGAATCGGAAATTATTGTGACAAATTTAATTAAAGATTTTCTACACATATAAAAAATTTGGACAATCTGTCAAAAAAAGAAACTGAAATATTTTTTTGTTTAAAAATCATTTTCTATGAAAATCATTGTTAAAAATATTTGGAACAATAAAAAATAGATTTATATTATGTATGGCATACTTTTAGGCGTTATTCAATTAATTTAAAATTCAAAATTGTCTATTTTCTTGCAGATATTTTTTATGTCAATTGTACAGCAGCCGATTTCTAACGCTCCCACCCACCAACCATTGCACTCAGGATGTACCTACAAAAAAACCCCCATTGATACAACTATACTTTTTTGTGTTATTAAATTTTTGTTGTAATTTGTTAAACCTTAAATATTTTTTCAAAAAATAGTTTTTGTTATTTTTGATTTTTTTGTAAATTTTTGAATAGAGAACAAAAAACCGTACCGCCTAAAAGAGTGCAGTATTATTTAAGTTATAATTTTTTTGTTTTTTCCTCCTCTCTCTGTTTATTATTTTTTTAATGAATTTAGTTACAATTTTGTTTAGCATTTAATATTGCTACTTAGTTTTTAGTTAGAATATTATTAATTGTTGTATAAGAATGCAAAGCAAAAAAATAAAAACTGCACAAATATAAAAATTGATAAAAAAATAAAAGAGAATACACACAAAATAAAAGACACTAAGAAAAAACAAGAAATATCAATAAATAATTAATTGTTATAATAAAATAAAGAAACATTTTGAAACAAAAGTTTTACATTGAGTTTTTTTTTTCTATCTAGCTTACCATTCTATTTCAAAATTTAAAAAAAAAATCGTTTGGGAAAATGTTTGAATATTTTTTTTATTATTTAGTTGTCTTCTGTTAAAATCAAACAGAGCATATCTTTATTTGAAGCTTAACGTCAAATATGTAGAGTATAAACTTTTCTAAATTATAACTAGAAACATAGTTTTCAAAAATTTTGTTATTTTTGTTTTTCTTTTAATTAATTTGGCTTTACAATGGAAACAAATATAAACATTTTATTTGTTTTTTTTCCTTAAAATGGTTGTTGAACTTTTTTAAAGTTAAATAGAAAAAATATAAAAATTATTGAAATTTATAAATAAAATCTTGTGGGGGCTTAAATTCTTTTAAAAAAAATATTTAAAAAAATCAAAACTAAATTCTCAAAACATACAACTTAAATAATGTATTAACTTTTAAAGTTTGCTGTTGTTGTTTTTAAACCAAATTACCGTTTCTTATGACATTTGTTTTCTATTTTTTTATCGGCCACTACCCTACTAAGTATTATTGGAAGCCGTTTGTTGTGATTGCGCCGATGATTCTTGACTAAAATATGGAGCTATATTAGGTTTCAGCAGAGTATGGCAGATATCACACACACGGGCTGGTCGTTTACGTGGTCCAGATTGCACTGTTTTGGTTATACACTTATCACAGTAGATATGGCCACAATGGCGACAATGCACCTTGCGTACGGTAACCGTAAAATAGTTTTTACATGCCGGACAATTGGATACATCATCATCATCCTGCCAACGTACCTCAGAATCGGAATGTCGTAATTGTTCCAAATTCATCTGAAAGAGGAAGGATGTTTTTTAATTATTATAAGAATTATTATAGGGTGGGTGGATGGCGCTCACCTGCAGTGTCTGAGATAACTGAACAAAATCTTTTTGTACTTCTTCACTGGTGGCTAAATCATCTTGCAGATTTTTTATTTTTGCCTTAGCATCGGCCAGGGACTTGGTTAATTTTTCCTAAAATTAAAAAAAAAATCAAAAATATATTTAAAATTTTCGTGAGACCTTTGGGTAATAATTTTTCTGTAGAAAAATAATCGTGAAACCCTTGGATCCAATTTTTTCTATAAAAAATATTCAATAGAAAAAAATTTTCTATAAAAAAAAAATTATAGAAAAAAAATCGTGAGAACCTTGGATCCAATTTTTTCTATAAAACAAATTTCCTATAGAAAAAAATTTTCGTGAGACACTTTTTTCTATAGAAAAAATTTTTTATTAGAAAAAAAATTCCTGAGCCTCTTTTTCTATAGAAAAAATTCCTAAGCCCGTTTTTTCTATAGAAAAAAATTCCTGAGCCCCTTTTTTCTATAGAAAAAAAATCGTGAGACCCTTATTTCTATAGAAAAAAATTCGTGAGACCCTTTTTTGTATAGAAAAAAAATCGTGAGACCCTTTTTTGTATAGAAAAAAATTCGTGAGACCCTTTTTTCTATTGAAAAAAATTCGTGAGACCCTTTTTTCTATGGAAAAAAATTCGTGAGACCCTTTTTTCTACGGAAACAAATTCGTGAGACCCATTATTCTCTAAAAAAAAATTCGTGAGACCCTTCTTCTTGGGAGAAAAAAATTATTGACCCTTTTTTTTAAAGAAAAGAATTGTAAGACCCTTTTTTATAGAAAAAAATCGTGAGACCCTTTCTTTCTATTTTTGAGACCCTTGGGTCGCTACTTTTTCCTATGGAAAAAAAAATTCGTGAGACCCTTGGGTCGCTATTTTTTCTTATAGAAAAAAATTCGTAAATATTTCTATAGAAAAATAATCATAAGACTCTTTGGGCCATATTTGTCTATAGATTCGGAAGGGGCCATTTTGTTAAATTTTTCCTTTAGAAAAAAAAAAATCGCATGACCCTCTGGATCATATTTTTTCTATAGAATATTTTTTTGACCCAAAGGGTCTGGTCAAATTTTTTCATATAGAAAAATAATAGTGAGACTCTTTGGGTCAACACTTTTCTTTTGAAAAAGGGATATTCTCATAAAAATTCAGAAGGCTTTCTTATAGAGAATCAAAAAGGTGTTCATATAAGAAACCAAAAGCTATTTTTTAGCTTTTATCATGTTTGGTCTCCATATAGAAGATAATTTTCGATCATCTATAATCATCAATCCGTAAAATCCGATGTAAGCGATTAATGTAACTTTCTTCAACTCACATTCTGATCCCTTAATTCAATAATTTCCACTCTAAATGCTGATATCTGACGATTCTGTTCAGCTTCCTTGCGTTCCAAAGCCACTTTGGCTGATTCACAATTTTGCAAGGTCATCATGTGTTGGGTAATGCGATCTCTGTGTGGAAAAACAAAAAAAACATTCAACAACTGAAACAAAATTCGATTTACCTCTCAAACTTACTGTAGCGATCTAATCTCTGTTTGAACTTTCTTCTTATAAGCTGCTCTTTCACTATTACTAGCCTCCAGTTGGTCTCGCAAAATTTGTATTTCATCCAGTGATGTTACACAACGTTTCCTCTCATAGTCACAACCCAAACGTGCCTGTATCAATTCATTTTGTTGACGCAGAATTATCTCCTGCAGTTCTTCGACATTATTTGGCAAATTTATATATTGGCTTTCAATTTCCTCGGCTGTGGCCAAATAACGTCCCGATAAGAAATCATTATCGGCCTGTAGCAGTTCCAAATGTTTGTTAACTTTTTCACGTTCTTCACCGAGACGTTGCAACTGGCGTGATACTTCATCTTTGGTTTCCAGGAATTTCTGTTGCAGTTCCAAGAGTTGTTGTTCATTGGTGGTGACCTGCAAAAAAAAAAAAAATGGGGTTAGATATCAATGAATGGGATTTTATTAAATCAAGAGTGTGGCTTACCTGTTCCCTTAGCACATGTACTTCATTTTTATGAGCCTCACGTTTCTCTTGCCACTGGTTTTCCAAAACTGCTCGCAACTCGGCCTCTTTTTCCAACTCCTTTTGGATTTCTTCTAATTGTTTTTTAAGTTTTTCCAATTTTTCATTTTTAGTTGCCTCCGTGGATTTTAGCGTTTCAATTTCTTTTTCCAAAGCGGGACAATTTTCACATGCAACTGGGGATAGTGGTTTCTGGGTGGCATCTTCCTCTTGACCCAGTGCACCAATGGAGTTGTGGGTGGTTTGTAGTTTTTCATCAGCCTCTCTTAGTTTTTCTTTTAGTGCCTTCATTTCTTCTTGTAACTGGGTGACAATTGAGCCCAATACTTCGGAATCTTCTTGGCACTGTTATGGGGGAAAAAATAAAGGAATTTATAAAAGTGGGTTTTATGGTAAGTCCCGTATGGCAGTAATACTCACATATTTTCCTTCGATTTTACTTTTCACATCATCCGTAGCAATTTCACTTGCATTATTTCCATCTCCACTTTTTCCTATTCTGGCTATTGTTTTCTTTACTTGATTTAGGACTTGCGGAGCCAAGCTACTTAACTCCTGGGACGTTGATGATGTTGATTGTAAATGTTCTTGAAGTTGTCGATTTTCCTGCAGAATTCGTTGATTCTCCTCCTTTAGTAATTCCAGTTCAGATTTGCAAATGGCCGACTCCTCAACAGTTTCTATAATTTAATTAAAGACACAAAATATTATACAATAATTATAATATAATTAAATGTTCATGTTATACCTACCCTGTACCAATTGTTGCAATGAAGATATCTCCTCTTGAGCCTTAATTTCCGTTACCAACAACTTGGATTTAAGGGATTCCAATTCTTGTTCTTTTTGTACAAACAACTCCTTCAGTCGGGCTCTCTGGGCATTGAAACCATTTAACATTTTGCGATTCTCTTCCTCCAATTCCTGTAGTTTTATTCTTGGTACCATATCTAGTTGGGGGGATGGGTGTGTGAGTGTGTTTGATAATTATTGTTGTTTATGATGAAGCAAGAAGTGCAAGTGATTGACCTAACCCACACCCAAACATACCTGGGATACCGCTGTCATTTTGTTGTGCAATCGCCGGTTGATTTGTTACTTGGACATGTCCAGCACCTGGTGCATTATTTTGATTTATTTTTGGTTCGTTTTCTTCCATATTTCTGCTGGATTTATTAAAGAAGTACAAAACACCAGTCCAACGACCAGCAAAAAAAGAAAAATTCTAATTGGTTCAAAAGAGCGATTCACTAAAATGAACTATGGGAACTATTTGCATGAAAGAGAGGAGCAAGGTATATTTAATAAGGTAGCCGCATCGGCCCAGCTGTTGGACAAATAAATGTCAAAAATGTTGTTGTAATGTTGAACCAAAAAATTAAAAAACAAAATTATAAATGAAAATCTCCGAATTTCGAATAGATTTTTTGGCAATACTTTTATTAACATTTTCTACAAGAATTTGTGTAAAAAAATCTTGTCAATCTGTTTGTTTTGGCAAAATATTTTTGACATATCAAAATACAACAACCGATGTTTGTTGTAGAAATTCGCCGATGCGGCTACCTTGTATATCTACCTTGGAGAGGAGTGACCGAAATGAATTGTCAAAAAAGAAAAAGAGTACAAAGGAAAGTACAGCAATGTTTACGGTAAGAGAAATGGTAATTTTAAGATCAGCTGATATTATTAGGGACATGTAAGTCGATATCAAAATAGAACAATTTTCAATGGAGAGGAAAATATATTTTTACCATTTGTATTTTTATATCAAACAAAAACAAATGTGACAATTGATTCCCTTTTTGATATTTGTCTTTACTTTAAACTATAACAAGAACGAAATTCACATTAAAATGCCACACGTTACATTTACAGTCTTACCATAGGAACTCTTCCACCAATGACACTTGTCAAATGTCCGAACGATATGGCATCCCTTTTAAATCTTGAATTTACATCTCATACATGTGTTTTGTTATTGTTGATTGGAAAAATTATTAAAAAATTGGAAATTCTCAACAAATAATCGTAGAAAATGGTAAATAATTAACACCAGCACAATATTTAATCGAATATCTAATAATAACGATAATAATTTTTGCTTCTAGGGTAAAGGAAAAAAGGCATTTATTGATCGCAAAAATGCTGTAACATTTCATTTGGTACATCGCAGTCAACATGATCCCCTGGTAACAGATTCGGAGGCTCCACAGCGCGTCTTGCTTGAGGCTGGTGCAAGGCAGCCACAAAAACAAACCAGCAACGATCCAGCCGATGTTGAAAAACGCCGCGAGGAACAAAAGAAATATGGCATAGATTTCGATGATGACTATAATTATTTGCAGCATTTGAAAAAACCCGAAATGGACACCGTATGGGAATATGTGGAGAATCCAAATCAAGTTAAGAAACGTTTAGATGAAAATCGTTTGACAACGGCGCCCAAACTGAATTTACCCAGTTCGGTGTTTGCCACCGAATTTGAAGAAGATGAGGGTATGTTGAATAAAGCTGCACCACAACCAGGTCCACGCCCAGATTGGGATCCCGATGTTGTTGCTGCCCTGGATGATGATTTTAATTTCGAGGATGAAGATAATCAGTTGGAGGATGATTTTGTTTTAAAGGCCATGGGTGGTGACGGTGATGATGATGACGAAGATGACTACGACGATGATGATGATTATGAGGATGACGAAAGTGGTGAAGATTTTGATTCTGATGATTTACACGACTCTGAATTGGATGATGAAGAGTTAATGGACCGTCTGGGTCCTCTGATGAGACGTAATCGCTTCGACAAAGAAGAAACCAAATCCCAGTTTACAGAATATTCCATGTCTTCGAGTGTTATAAGACGTAATGAACAATTGACTTTGCTTGATGATCGTTTCGAACGTTTCTATGCCACCTACGATGACCCCGAACTTGGTGATCTGGCCACAGAGGAAATCGAGGGTAGCTGGGGCCAAAAACATCCCTACGTTTTGGGTTGTTATAAACTCTTCAAAAAATCCAATGAAATTATGGAATACAACAAAGAGTGGGACAAAAAACGCATAGAAAAATATGCCAATGTGGTAGAGGGTGATCACGATCCAGAAGAAGAATTGGAAGAGGTTGAGGTGGAAGATCCCAAAGAAAAGAAATGGGATTGTGAATCGATTTTGTCTACCTACTCGAATATTTATAATCACCCCAAATTGATTGATGAGCCAAAGAGCAGAAGAAGTCGCCAGAATTCCACCAACTCGTCGACAATCAATAAAATTGAAATTGATCCCAAAACAGGAATGCCAATGCATGTTCTGCACGGCGATGGTAATCAATTGACAGCCAAGGCCTTGGCCAAGCTAGATAATGAGGCAGATGGTAAGGTGACCGGTCCCAAGTCTTTGTGTGCCAAATCAGTTTTATCCACCCTTTCGGTGTTGTCCATACGTCCCAAAGATGAGACACCCGAAGAGAAAAAGGAACGCAAACGTCTGCTCAAAGAATATCGCCAGGAGAGACGCATTGAGAAGAAGGCAAATGCCGAGGCTTTCAAGGAGGAAAAGAAACGCCAGATCCACGTTAAGCAAAATCAACGCCTCAATCAACAGGGCAGCAAAATTTTATAGAATAATTTCGTTTTTTAACCAATCAATTTATATATTTTTTAAAGAGAAACAACAAAAATAGAAATAACAAAACACAACCAAGATTTGTATATAAAAAATACAATTATAAATTGTTTTATTTTATTTTTTCTTTATTAACGAATGATTGGCTCCAGCCAATTAAGGAAATAACTTAATAATATTATTTATAATAATTGTAATAATGTTACAATCGAGAGAGTGGAGAGTGGTCTTAAAACACTGTGGTTATCCTTTCAATTTCCAAGAGATCACTTAGAATATCTTCGGTTTTGGTGCCAATCTTCTTGGCCACTTCATTTCGTTCGGCCACCGTCATATTGGCAAATGACCATATCAAATCACCATCTATGATGCAACGACTAGGATTTATCGATAGCTTCTTGGCCATTTTTATTGTCCGAAATTCCTTGGGATTCAGGCCGCACAAATGTTCCTGATAGGATAGCAGTACGTTTTGCAACATCAAAAAACGACGATACACTTTCTCCGGCAGGGGCAGACAATAACCAATGCCACCATCCAAAGTGCCATAGACAACAAAATGCTTATTTTCATAGGTAAAGGGCTGACGCTGAATGTGCCCCCTCTGATGGCATTGTATGCGAAACATGGTGTTAACCGTTTGACCCAAATGATAATCACCTTTACGTAATAGCTTTTGGCCACCAATGGACTCTCGTACTTCCGGTTGATACATATATACAATGAAATTCTTTTCCGCATCCGTCACCAAGAAAGCCAAATTGGTATTGTCCACCATAAATTCGATGCCAAATACCTCCAGGGGGTAGAAGTCTCTAGAGGCCAGCGATAGGGTCTTGAATTCCTCCTGGAAACGTAAGACACTTACCGACTTGTAGACATCGGCAATGAGTATCAACGATTTAATCGATATTATTTCATGTACATAGATATTCGTGTCGATAAAGGCGACACCGATTAGATCATCATCCGACAACTGCCATAGATAGATTTTCTGCCCAAACGCCGTCACCAAGAAGCCCAAAACATCGGAAATTGCCGAGACGGGACCTTTCTGTTCTTTTTTAAAGATTTCCTTCAATTTGAATTTCGTTAATGGTTTTCCTGGTTCCGGTACAACTTCAATGATATCGTAGATGTGAATATTACCCCTTGAGGTTATATCTTCGCTGTAATTGAAATTGGTGCCAATGCAAAGGTATTCCTTAAGACCAGATCGTGTGCCCTCATAGGCCAATTTGACAATTTTAAACGCCGTTACATGTTCCCAGTTTTCAAATTCAATGGAGGCATCGGGTACAATTTCCCATGTCTCCGGGCTGACCAAGACCATTTGAAATTTCGACATATTCGGATAGATAAAACGTTCTCCTTTATTTTCCTCTGTCAGCTCCTTGTCTTCGCCGTTGAAACGGAAATATTTGTTTGTTTGCTCCTCCGTCTGGGTTATCAAACAATAGACACGATTTTCCCGATGGTAGACAATTTGTTTGGGTGTACACCGCAAAGGCACCTTGCGTGCCGGCCATGGTGAATCATAGGTCAGATAGGGTGGCAATACACAAATCTTCAAATCGAAGCTGGTATCGAAACACAAGAATCCTTGGGGACAATTGACATTGTTGAACGGTGCAAAACTCCGCAAATAGCCATTGGTATATTTGTGGGTCCTCAGCTCTCCTTTGCCGGTGAGAAAAATAAAATACGGATTTGGTCCACATACCACCACACCATTTAAACCGCCGATATTTGTAAAGTAGCGCAACTTGTTAATGTAACGATCTTGCAGGTTATAGGATTCCATTTCCGAATTATCATCATCTATTTCCATGGTCACATCGGAATTATCATCTCTCATATTTATTGTGGTTAATTTGCGGAATCGTATCTTCATATTACCCTTGGCATAACGATAGGCCTGATAGATCAACAGCTCCAAACGGGTACGTATCATTAGCAGCGGCCGATTGCCTTGATAACCCAAACCCACCAATGATACCTCCAGTGGCAGCGGGGAGTTGGCATGCTGAGGCATACAATTTAACAATATACCCTGCTTGTTGTCGGCTTGATTGAGATTGACCGGCACAAATTCCATGGAATCGGTTAGTATGGTATCGCCATTGCCGATATCATTAACCAAATAGACCAATTTCATATCGGGCATAGAATATATTTCCAAAGTACCACTTTCACGACCCACAACTAGCCAATAGGTGGATTTTACTGGCAACAAAAGGCGACGCCACCAATCGGAATTTTTCTGCCTCGACTGCTTGGCCAAATCGGCCATGCTATTCATTTTAAAGGCATTACCCGATTCACCATACAGCAAATCTTCTTCGTCTTCGATTTTCATGTTCGGTTCCGCCTTCATATAACCCAAGCCGGCATACAGAGAATTACCACCGGAACCGGTCAAATTCAAAACATCATCTGTCTTGGTGGTGAAAAGGCCCGAGAGATCCTTATAGGCCGACAACGATATAACCGCTGGAACACTGCTAATGGTATTCTTATTAATGGCCAGACGTGGGGTGCCCTTGGTTTCACGCAACGCCAATGTAATAACCTTTCCGTGGAGAACACGTAAACATACATATGGATCAGCAATGGATACCTGGACCACTGGGGCACCCTCATCTATGGGTACATTTTGTATAAGACGTTTACCCTGCAGTAAACGCACCGAACGTGTTGTGACCTGGACAATAAAACGATTTTGGCCCAAATTACCCACAAATATTGTCGGCTGGTTGTAGCTGAATCCGGTGTTGTCAATTTCGTTGATTTCCTCTCCGGTCTGCAGTACCAATGTTGAGGTTCTTTGTGATAGAATCATAAAATCGTGATGATCTTGATGGCTCATTTTCCGACTAACATCATCGAAGACCGTCCAAACATCCAGGCAACCATCCAACTCGAATGAGGTTATAACTTGAGGATTAATGCAGTTAGCAAAGACACAGAGCGCCCCATTTTTGCTATGACCCACCGAAGCCACAATGTCTATTTTCAAATCGGCCAAGTTGCTGGCTTGAGGTTTCAACGTTGTGCCGCCTTCTTCAAATTCCACACGCTCCCCGGCACACATGTAATTAATCGGGCCGACATTCAGCAAACTGTCGCATACCTCAAATATATATTTCCTCAACTGTACAGAGGTCTTAGCGCCCGAACCATACACCTCAAGTTCTTCATCTTCAATGCGACGGGCTTTACGTGTATCATCGTTGCCACCGCTGCCGCCGCCACCACCTCCACCATCTGTGCCATCGTATTCATCCAAAGTGATTACCGTACTTTGATCCTCCTCGGTGAAATGTAACAGCAGTGAGTTGCCCAAACGTGAACCCAAAAATAGATATTCACTTTGGCACACAGCCATACAACTGGTCAAAACACTTGCAGCTGCCTTATGGAAATGGAAATTTCTAACTGTTCTCATCGAATCCACACACAAGGTGACCACATACAAGTCACCCGTTCTGAGCGACACCACCAGCTTATCCACATCAATAAAAGCAATATTGGCTGCATCCAAACTAATACGCACACCATCCTGGGGTTTCAGCGGGAAACTTGTACTATGATCGGCTGAACTATTCAGTGACACACCATATGGCGGAACACTTTGATTTAAGTAAATAATCGCATTCACCGTTGTCACCAAACAGCCGCCAATCGGCTTTTGGATGGGAAAAACTTGCAAACAATCAAACGGCAGGCCCGTCACTGTCCATATAATCGGATGGACACGTTGTTGGATATTCAAGGATATTGCGACCAAGACACAGGTATCGGAACGTACCGCAACTCTGCCGGTAAATGTCCTCACCGGTTCGTACAATATCAACAATGTCGGCTCATAATAACCATGCAAAAACTGCAGATCCAAAACATTATCAATTTTCTCATCCAGGTCACGCAGAGCAATCAAATACGAAGCTAAGATGGGTGTGCGTGACATTATGGCAGTGGGTGCCTTCTTGATCGGTTTTACATCGGCCAATTCAATTTCATCGATACCATTCTCTTTGCGAAATGGTAATACGACCAAACGTTTACCATACACCAACATTACAGCACAACGGGCATCGGGATCAACGCGTACCATGGGTATATAATAACGGCCCGTCCAGCCATCTTTAATATCTTCCTCTTCGAAATAATGCAGGGACAAAGTTTTCAAGCCAAACGTATCTGGATCATGCTGTACCACTGACAGCTTGGCATCTTTGAAACTAATCAGTAAAGCATCCCTCATAGAACCGGTCAGCGTCACACTCTGCAATGACATTACATTTCCATACAAGGTATACGAGGCCAGACATTCCAAACGCATTTTCGGTGGATTTCTCAATTCATTGGGATTGAGTTTCTGATGCCGTTGTGATACATCCAGGTTGGGAATGATCCGATAAACCTTCAATATATTGGCACCGGCAACCACCACATTTTCATCAACATTATTAAAGAAACGGCAGGTGATGGCAAATTCCACGCCTGTGGCGGGATGCGATTGTTTACACACGGAGAACATATTATTTTCTGCACAACTTTTTTTTCGCGATTTTAAATGATTTTTTATATTTATTTCATTGTTTTTAAATAAACAAAATATAGAATGAAAACAATGATATATTCTTTGGAAACAAAACAAGAAGAAGATTACCCCGAAAAGAGGTGCAATACAAAAAACATGAAAAAACACAACAATGCTTCTTCATACCTTAGAGCCATAAAGTGACATTCAAAGTGAATTAATAACATCACTTTAATGCATTTTAGTTAATTCAATTTGACGTGTTTACTTACATATATTGTTGTTGTTATTTATATGTGCATGTTTCTATAATATTAGGCACTCCACTTTAAATTATATCACACAAATATTATTCTGCTAAAATTAAAAGTTATTTGCGTATGCCTCTTCTTACTTTGGCGCGCTGCACCGAAACTGCTGGCATTCCAAGTGCATTGATAACAGTTGAATAAAACAAAGGGTTATACAAATCGAATAAACATAAACAATAGGCTTAAAATGATTAAAAACCACACAACTACCAACTGATTACAATTTTTCCTCAAGGTGACTTGTCCATCAAATTAAAATACATATTTTGTGTATGTATGTGTTTTGTTTTGAATACTATGTCAAATAAATTCAAAATAAATTGAAATATATTCAAGTTTAATTGAAATGAAAATGAAGTTTTCAAAACGTTCGTCTGGAAGTAATTACTTTGTTATGGATAAAATAAACATTTTATGGTATTCCGTACTGGGTTTTGGGAAGAAGAAACAAGTATTTTTATTTTTGTGTTGAAAAAATGTCAAATAAAGACAAACACTTGTAGCGAATATTTGTTTTATTCTTGGTAGAAGAAGCCACACGTGCATAGTTGCTTTTTTGTTATTCACTTCGAGCTGCCCTACCTTGTATTATTGTATTATGATTAAAACCATGTCTCAATACTAAGGTCGCCGGATGAGGGCAGCTGATTTCACCGGATCTGTTAAAATGCTTTTAATTTTGACTTAATCGTATGAAATCCTAAACAATAAATTTGACAGTTTGGGGGATTTTTAACCAAAATTGCCGATAACGATTGCCTCGTAAACGAACTGTTTATTGGGTCATGATCAAAACCTACTATAAAAATTGTGATTCTGGCACAGCCCCATTTCCTGCTTTAGAAGGAAGTTATTATATTAACGTTATTATTTATTATTAACCATGAGTATTTGATGAATGACGAACATCAGAGGGCACATTATAAAACAAGCAAAATTTGGGCAAGTGTGTCATTCAAAAATAATAGTGTGTACACCATTTTACATATTCGTCACATTAACTAATTAACTAAAGTTAACTATTTTCTTCCATAGCATAAAGGAAAATTCGTTATGGTAGTAATAAGTAATAGATTCTTGCAGTACGGGAACAGACCAATAATAGATAATATTATGAAAAAAATATTGTATGTGAGTTTTATTTATGAGTTTACTGTTGAAACCGCCAAATTGATAACCCTGATGACCCTATAAATTTCTAAAATTACTGTGTATTTTGTTTCTTTTATTTCCCAGTTGTTTAAAATTGATGTTATGTGTTTTTCTCTGATTTGCAATATGCAGTTCGCTATTAGTTTGAAATCGATTATTTATAATCGATTTTTTTGCTCATTGACATTCCATAAAATCACTACAATGATAACACTTTTTATAAAACCAACTGGCAACACTGTACATTAAGTGTCGTATCTCGTCGCAGGCAGTATTTTTTTGTTGGTGAACGGATAGAATTCTACGGGAAAAAATATAAATACAAAAGCAAAAATATAAATATTTAATAAAAAAGCTTATAAAAAATATAAAATGAATTATATATTATGTAGAAAATAGCAGCAGGATTAAAAATTTCCATGAAAATACGAAAAGAAAAAGAGTGTAAATAACCAACCAATGCAAATGATGGTCGCTGCTGCTGCTGGTAATGATAGTGTGTGTGTGTGTAAAAGTAAATGACAAAAATTATCTTTTGTTTGTGTGTAAAGAGTGTTGTAGTTTAGAGAAGGTTAATATATGAAAAGAAAAGCAAGGCATTTAACGAGAATATATAGAACTCTATATAAATTTAATAAAAATGTTAATAAAAAAATCATGGAAATAATACATAAGGCCAGCATTTTGTCGGGAGAAACGAACAAGTGAATGAAGAAAAATATAAGCGAAAAAAGAAGGTAATCTTATAATTGTTGTTGTTCTTGTAATTGTGTGTTAAAGCATAACGCAAAACAGCGAATACAAAAGAAAAATATTAAAAAAAGGTGTTGCCATATTTAGTGAATGTGTGGTGTATGGAACAGAAAACAAAAACAAAGTGGCGTTTTTTGTTTCATTTAGTCTCAGCCAGGCCAGTATATCCTCCTCCTCTTCAGCGAAATGAGTGTTTGTTTTTGTTGCTTATATAAATGTTGCTACAGCTGTGAGCTGTTGTAGTAACATGAAAAAAGGTAATTAGGTAAAAAAAAACAACAAGAATAACAATAACAACAACCTGCTATGGATGCAATTAAGAAGAAGTTACAATTGACTTCTGTCGTGGTGGATTTGTAGCAAGAGCAGCACTTATCGCTCGCTCGTTCGACTATCTGTTGGTGGGTTGTGACGTTTTTTTTTATTGTTGTTCCCAAAACCCTGCTGTGTGGCATCACTGTAAGGAGTTTTTTGTTTTTTGCTGTAAGAAGAGTAGTAGAATAAAGTTAAAAGAAGGAAAACTATTACCACAAGAAGAAGGCGACGACGACAACGAAGGCAATAACGACAATGACGACGACGAGGAAGAAAGAAAGAAAAACCTAAAATTGTAATTCGGCAATACACTACTAAATGATTTTCGTAAGAAGAAGATATATGTAAAAAATTGCAGAAGTGATGACCAAGGGCCACAGAGGGCCATGTAACGATTAGAATAAATTAGATCTTGAATATATACCAACTCGGAATAAATTTTGTTGTTGTTATTGTGTTACGTTTTACACACCAAAGACCTACAGAACACCACCACCTGATTCCAAAAGGTGGAGATATTAACTTCTGAGTAACATTAATGAACTCCACATAATTTTAATGTTCAAATAATACTTTTTTCTTTTGTTTACATCCAAACAGTAATTTGACAATTCGACTACAACGACGACGACGACCAACCGACAACGACACCATCATCATCATCGTCGTCGGTGTATCCTGGAAGTAATAATACTACATAATCATATTGCTTACAAAGATTTCAATTCTATATGTAGTAATGAACTCGCTCGGTGTCCCCTGAACAATTATGCGAAATATGAAAACGGACACCAGCGGTTCATCATCAACGGCAACAAAAAATAACCACAACAACACTACCCAAGGGACATCACTACGTGAAAAGACAACAGCAACTAGGATATTGTTTATAAATTCATCGATCAGTCACACAAATTCGTATGCTGGGTTGGTGGACCGAACATTATTTAGTTCCGGCTCAAGAGATTTAAATAACTATTTAAGTAACATCAACGATATGGAAGCTTCAAGTAGCCACATTACCGTTATCGATGATGAGGATGAAAAAGATCCACTGGCCTTGGATACTAGCTCTACAGAAGATTCACTTGGTAGTGCTCCGTCAACATCAAAGCATTCCCATAGCCTAAGGTAAGTAGATAAAAAAATCATGTTTTTGTTATTGAAATTTGTTCTAATCAATTGCTGTTGTTTGGATTTTCTTTTTTTTGATAGACGACATGTACCACGAATAATTGTGAAACCCATACTACCTGATAAGAAAACCACCAGCAGCAATACATGCCCGTCGTCAGCAGCAAATGCATCTACGACTGCTACAGCCGCAACAACCTCATCATCAACAGTTGTTAATAGCAGTCCGTCAGGTCGTACCAGTAGTAGTCGACGTATACAACAGCAACAACAGGCAAAAGCTGCAGCAGCTGCTGCTGCGGCCGCAGCGGCGGCGGCGGCTGCTGCTGCATCTCAAAGTACCAACACCACCACCCCCGCCACTGCAACCACACAAGCTTCAACAATGCGTGAAGTACTGGCATCCATTCCAGGATTTAGTATTAAACCACGCAGACGTTCGTCAAAGAAAATGTCAACGGCTGCCCAAATTGAACAGACCAAGGATGGTAAAATTGATTTGGAAACACCTGATTCCATTTTGGCCTCAACAAATTTGAGGGCTCTGCTGAACAAGCAAACGTTCACAATGCTCCCACCGTTATATCAATACAATTTAATTCAGCTACTGCCTAGTGTAGATCGCGAGGCAATTGAAATGGAGCATAAATGTCCAGCAAATACCATACCCACGGAAGGTATACGGCTGGGGCCATCAAGTCTAAATAATGAATTTTTTGCCCGGGCCTGTTTGGAGTGGCGTGAACGTCTCTCAGAGGGTGAATTTACACCCGAAAATCAAATGAAACTAAAGACGGAAGCTGAGCGTGAAAAAAATAAACTTGATCCGTGGAAGTTGAAACATTTTGAACCGATATGGGGTGAAAAATCCTTTCAGCGGGCAAACAACAGTAACACCAATCGTCTGAATAATGAAACCAATACCACGACTACCACCTGCATTGTCAACAATAGTAAATTAAAAAGTGATGAGAATGATGCTCATGATGATGGGAATAACAAATCCATAGAAATAGTTGATGCGACACCAACAACATCAATCTCATCCACAACCACCAGTGCCTCGAATTCAACAAAAACCGAAGCATTATCCTCAAATTCACCTACATGCTCGTTGTCATCAACAATTTCATCGTGTTCAAATGATGTGGTGGCAGCAGCGTCTTCATCATTGGCGTCATCGTCAGTAGTGGTAGTTCCTGTTTCAATATCCACGTCTTCTTCTTCCTCTTCTGGCATAAAAGAAACAACTTCACTTAATGTCAAGGTAAAGCGAAAAGATGACGGCAACGACGACGACGACGAAGAAGAAGATTGTATAGATAATAGCATTAAAGAGGAGAAATCCTCCTTTGTAAAGACTGAAAATAATCCAGAGAACGTAAGCAAAAAACTTTAAATTAAAATAAAAACCCGATTTTTAATATCTCATTATTTTATTCTAGTGTCAAAAGTCAAAGGAAAGAAGAGATACAAATGAACGAAAATCTCCACACCATCATCACCACCACCACCGCTACACTAGTGAACAACCAACAACATCAGCATTAGCCATACAAAAATCTAGCCAAGAATCACAGAGACGTGGTACAAAGCGGTCTTCGGCCAGTCCTCCAAACAAGGGCGGCTCAAGCAAAGACGAGGGTAACAACAACACCAACACAACCACCTGCAGCAGCCACATTATGGACACCAGTATAGCTGAAGAAGATGAAAGTGAAATTATTTTGGATGACTGTAATGATGTTCCTATTGAAATTAAAAGTGATAGTGAAAATGATGAATTGATGGATGCCACTGAAGATGGTCCCAGCAGTAGGAAAAAGTTAAAAATTGATAAGAAAACAACAACAGTTGAGGATATTGTTTGTCATGACTTGACAGAAGATGAAGTTATGCCCGGTGAAGAACAAACAAATGTCACACAAAAAGTCATTGACGAAGAAGAAGAGGAAAATGATGAGGCGGAAGAGGAGGATGATGAGGAAGATGAAGAGAAAATAGAGGATATCCATGCCATTAGTGAAGATAAAGAGTTTGTTAATGATGCTAATACCAACATTATAACTTTAGCGACAACATTATCATCAACAACAACAGCAACAAATGTGAACAGTACCTGTGATAATAATCAACAACAACAACATGAAAATGACCACCACCTCCAAACAACATCAAATATTAATGCTGATCATGGTCAATATTTTTCATTTACCGCAAGCTCTTCAGATATTCAACAACAACAGCAGCAGCAGTCGAATTCTACCACACTGGAAATGTCATTAAATTTGGATAATTATGCTGATAACCACAACAACAACATTAGTTACAATGAAGAAGAAGAAGATGAGGATATTATCGAACAGAAATTTAACGATGCTGAAAATTATGTCTTAGAATCGGGTGAAGTTAGTACTGATGATAGTGGTACTGGTAAGTGAGAATTTGTTTTTTTTTTCTTTTCATTTCTTTTTTAAAATGCTTTTGTATTTCTACTCTTCTATTTTCCATTGCTTGTTTTCACAAAAAATCTTCAAATAAAAAGATTCTACTAAACCTGACAAATCTACTAACAACAACAACTCCCATACTGATGCAACAACGGCGGTGGTGGATACACCAGCCGCTGCTGAAAGTGTCGGCAACGAAGATGATGATTTTTTATTTACTAACTCTCTTGATCGTGGTAAGATAATATTTACCATATATAATAAAACTGAACAAAATGTATTATAATTATGCACGCACACACACGTATTTGTATTATAATGTTTTCATTTTCATTACAACTATTTTTTTGAAATATTTTTCTTCCATTACATTATGTTATATTTCTTTCAAGTTGCATGGTTAAATTTATAATATTATATATTAATATAGATACCGATCTTAACTATAACGCCGCTTCCCAATAGTATTTTATGGATTTATATTTTGTTTCGAATGTTTATTTTTTTATATTTTTTTATTCACTGGATGAATATCTTAACACAAAAACAATATGTATAATCAAATGGATTAGATTTTATTTCATTTTAATTTTGGTAGAAATAAAAAAAATTGATTTTTTTGTTTGCACTTAAACCGCTAAAACATGACTTTATATTTCTCCATCATGTATCTGTTGGATACCCTGAAAATTGTTCTTAAAAAAACAAATAATTTTTATTTTTTATATCTATTTTATATCTATATATTGTTCAAGACAATAATAATTTATAAAATCAAAAATATGTTTTTTCAAGCTCCACATTTTTTATGAAAAAAAATTAAGATCCACATTAGGCGGTTTTTTTAAATTTCAAAAAAAAAAAAATGAAGATCCACATTAGGCGTGGATTTCAAAAAAAAAAATTAATATCCACATTAGGCATGGATTTAAAAAATATATTTTTTTAATTTCCACATCAGGCGTGATTTATTTCTTAATTTCCACATCAGGTGTGGATATCAAAAACCAAAATATTTTTAAGGTCCACATCAGGCATGGATTTAAAAAAATAAATTTAAGGTCCACATGAGGAGTGGATTAAAAAAACATTTTTTAAGGATTCGCACAAGGAATGGATTTCAAAAAAAAAAAAAAAATCACCGCCTTAAAAAAATCCACACCTACGACTGAATTGTAAACAACCATTTTTTTTAAATTAATATGTATTTTTTAATTTTTATTTAAAAATCTTATTTGTTTTTTATATGAACATTAATTTTTAAATTTTCTAAATATTTTTTTCTCTTGATCATTGCATTTAATTGTATGTATATTTACCTTTTTTGCTTGTTGCTTGTTATTAACACACACACGCCCACACTTTTCCTAATTCATCACAGTAAGTTTTCGCATCCATTTCACATTTCACCTCCCCTATTTTTGGATTGCACGTTATGGTCTTCAAAAAAAAAAAAAAAAAAAAAAATAAATAAATAATAATAAATAAATAATTAATTATTATTTTCAAAACTTTAGTAATTATACCCGATGAAACAACAGATGAAAGTAATCTCATGGCATCAGCAACATCGACAACAACAACACCATCATCCATAGTTTCAACGGCAACAACATCTTCTTCGTCACTATCCGGCGATTCTCTGTCATTGGCTTCAATGACAACAACATCGGCAGCAGCCTCATTTACAACGCCTTCGTCATCGTCAAATTCATTGAATAGTAGTGGCAAAACATTGATGGTAACATCTGTGGTATCCTTGGCACCAGCACCACCACCGACCACCAGCAGCAGCAGCTTTTTAAAGGATCAACAACAAGTGCAAACATCGACGTCGTCATTGTCCTCGTCGACTGCTGTACAACAACAGCCCACAGTAAGTGATGTTTTCCATCATTTAAATCATGATTGGAATTTTGGTGGCCTTAAATTGGGCATAAACACCTCCAGTACCTCCTCCACCTGCTCAACACAAACACTGGAGGATAATCAGCAGCAGCAGCAACAACAACAACCTAGTAATTATTGTAATGTTTTACAACAATCATCGTCGGCCCAAACAACATCAAGTAATGAAATAGCTATTCAGGATCAACAAAACCATCATCAAAATCTACAACTGATGGATGCTGCTGCCATGGCCAATCAGGAATGTGTTGTCAATAATGAGGCTGCCATCGCAGAAGTAGAAGAAGAACACACAATAGAAGAGATTGCCGATGATGATGATGGCGATGACGAGGATGTCGAGGATATGGAGGCCAATAATGCTGTTCGAGATATTGTTGATGAATTACAGCAACAACATCAGCAGTTATTACAGCTGCAACAGTTGAAACAAATGCAAGCCGCATCCGTTGAATTGGTAGATGATGTATTCATGCAGAATCAGACGCAGCACCAGCAGCATCATCTTCATTCACAACAACAACAGCAGCAACAGGAAATTGCCCATATTAATGAATATGTTGGAGAGGTAGGTTTTAATACTTTTTTTGTATACCCAAGGTAGATCCATTAAAATGAAACTATACGTTTCTTGGAGTCCCACTGGTGGTGGAAATGAATAACTCCCTCTTCACCACAAGTCGGGCTCGAAGAATCTTCTTGTTTGATTTTAATGGGTCTACCTTGTACCAACACATTGTGTTGTTAGACATTTCCTTATTTGTTTTTTACCTCTTTCCTTATTTGTCTCTCTCTTTCTCTTACAGCTAACCTCATCCAATGAAATGATGACGGCAACCGATGTTCCTATGTCGATAACAGAAATGGAAGTGACCAGCACGGTGATAACAAATACCAATTCCAACGATAGCCTGAATGACATTAGCATGTGCAGCAGTAGTACAAGTGGCAGCAGTGCGAGTCTTAGTACACCAAATATTGTGGCCACAACAACAACATTGGCTCAGTTGCAACAACAACAAACTTTACATAATCAACAACAGCATCATACAACACATCAACAACAGCAACAACAACTTTCCAGTCCACAATCATTGCACAATACACCTGCTGCTGCTGCTGCCCCGCAAAGGCAAATATTAGTTGATTCGAATGGTCAAATAATTGGCAATTTTTTGGTACAACCATCGCCGCCACCACAACCACAGCCACACCCCCAGCAACAGCAACAACATCAGCAGCAACATCATCATCAACACGGCAACTCAACAGCCCACATTCAACAGCAGCAGCAACAACAGCTGTTACAGCAAGCTGCAGCGGTCCAACGATTTTCATTTCAAACGCAACAGCAAACGGCGGCAGCAGCAGCTGCCGTTCTTGCAGCCAGCCAACAGCCAACAAATTCGATGACCTTTGCTGCTGCCAGGCAACAGCAGCAGCGTCAACAATTGGCCCAAAAAATACTACCTGTGTTGCACAACACAAATGGCCAGCATTTCCTAGCGGCGGCGGCAGCAGCAGCGGCCGCAGCCGGTGTCGTTCAGCAGCAGCAAACACACATTGATCATCCAACACAAATTCAACAGTTTTCCTTACAACAAACACCAGCCGCGCAACAACAACACTCACCATTGGCCCACAATATCACGGGAGGACAACGGCAATATTTAACTAACTCTTCTCCCAACCTGCAACAACAGCAGCAGTCTTTAAACAGCAACAATTTAACGCAATCGAATAATTTGTTAACCTCTCAGCAGCAGCAACAACAACAAATACAACTGCAACATCAGTTGCAGCAATTACAACAATCCCATCTAAATTCATTTCAAAATCTTAACAATCAAACGGCCACAGTCGTATCTCCTCATCCGCAGCAGCAGCAGCAGGCATCATCGCCCAACACACATCATCATCATCAGCAGCAGCAGAACAATGCCGCGGCCGCCATCGGCGCCACCCTAACTCCCAAATTCATTTCCAAGCAGCTAAGTATTATATCAATGCCCCCGCGTAATGCAGCCACAATTCCCGCAAGTATTGCGACCACAGTTGCCATTCCGTCCACTGCCTCCTCCGCCAATGCACTGTACAATAATAGCAACAACAACACCATAAATACCACCCAACTAAATGTGAATGTTCTCAAGTCGTTTTCACCTTCGGGAGTGCCTACAACAATTGCTCAACAAAGGCCAAATGCCGCTGGCAAACAGGCAGCCAATACCACCACCGGCAAGGGTAGAAAATCAACGGCCAATAAACTGCCACCTGGGGCGGTAAATATTGAGCGTAGCTATCAGATATGCCAGGCCGTTATACAAAATAGTCCAAATCGGGAAAATTTAAAGGCACAACTGAGACCGCCATCGGCTCTTTTGAGTCAGCAGCAACAGCAAACATCGAATGCTGCTGGTAATACAACAGGCAAAACAACAACAACGACGACTGCTGCAACTGTAGTGGCCAGTGGCCCAGCAGGAAATGTCAAGACCCAAGAGGAAGTAATCATTAATACGCTAACGGGCAACAGTACATCGACGGCAACAGCATTACCCACAAATGTTATGGGTGTTGGCAGGCCAGGGGTTTACAAGGTAAGACTGCAAAAAAAGAAAAGGATTTTATTTTAAAATGTGCCGTATTTTGTTTCAGGTTATTGGACCACGCATGGGTTTCCCACGTAAAAAATATGTACAACGAAAATCGTCACCCACACTAATACGTCACATATTTGCCAATCATCAGGGTTCAGCGGCAGCGGTACTTCAAAATACCAATTTAACGGCTGTTGCCACACCGGTCAGTGGTGTTGCGCAAAAAGTGACAATAATGCAACAACAGCAACAACCCCAAACGCAACACCAAATCATTGCTGCTGGTGGTGGTGGTCAACAGCATGTTCAGGCAACGACGACAACAACAACACACGACCTACATCACAATGGCAATGGACAGTATGTGCTGTTACATCGTGCCAATGTCGGTGCGGCTGACAATCAGGCTCCACGTGCTTCCAGTGCTCCACCAGTTCCTCAAAATCAGGTACTATACGATGATATGTGAGGAGGGGAAATTTAATGTGTATTTTTAATTGCGTATTTTTTCCGTTTTTCTTTTTCATTCAGAATCAACTTCATGGCTTGAATGGTATAACTGGACGCGGGCGTCCTGCTTCAGTAGATGTAGATTTGTTAAATTCTCTGCAAGATATGCACAATAATAGTGTGTGTACAACAACAACGACAACACAAAATGCTGCTGCTGGCAATACCACACAAATTGTGCGGCGAAATATGGCCACCGGTAAGTTTTTTTGGAGTTTTGTAAATCGGAAAGCGGAAAGAATGACAAAAATTTTGCCTTTACCTTTCAGGAAATCTCTATATCGAAGGTATTGGTGAGGCATCAACGGCTTTAATGGATGCTGCCAGTGGTGGTAATTATATTGTAACAACAACAACTTCAGGCGCCTCTGTAATGCCCTCTGCTGCTGGTGGCATCAATTGTGCCATACGCAATGCAAATGTAGCAACAACAAATCAACAGCTACATTCACAACACCATCACCACCACAATATTGACAGCGGCTGCAATAGTTCTTCGGGAGGTAGTGCTAACAGCAATAGCAGCCCTCCAAATACCAACAGTTCTTCAGATGGTTCGAATTGTGCCTGCTCCCTGAATGCCATGGTTATATGCCAATCGTGTGGTGCATTTTGCCATGATGATTGTATAAATGCTTCAAAGCTATGTGTGTCCTGTGTGATTAGATGAATTGGTAAATGTGGACAGCAGCCACTGTTGTTGTCGTCGTCACCGACATCGTCGCAAGCAATATGGAAGTTATTTAAATAGCAACAACAACCACAACAACAATAGCAGCAATTTATACACACTTTCACACACACACTCCGAATGTGCGGCAAGTATGATTTGTTCTTTCAACAACAACAACAACAACAACAAAATAGTTGTATATCAAACACTGTTCTACAATGGTTGTTCGTTCGTTCGTCCTTGAGATATGCTAACAAATTGAGATTTAATGTGGGTTTTTTTGGTTGGTGGCTCCTTGATATTTAAGGAAATTGGCGTGTTAGGTAAAAAAATTGTTTTCAACAATTTTTTTTTTAATTTCTCAGCACCTTTTCTGCTACCTAAACCAGCTGATAATATTTTTGGAATACTAAAAATGAACAGCTGAAAAAAACAATAACCGATGGTTACCTGTGGCGTTAAATTATTATTTTTTACGGTATTCTTGAACGAGCATGTGTTTTTTCTGTACGGAAATTTCGTCAAGGTTTTATGGTTCTCGACAAAATTGACGACTTGAAATTGAAATACTTTAAAAGGAATCTATAGGAAAAATAATTTTTAAAAAATATTACATCCGATTTTTCCAAAGGATATATTTTGTTCCGGAAAATACAGAGAGAGTACGGTCGGAATACTGTGGCAATATGCTCTTCAGCATTCCTTTAGTCTTTTTATTTATTATGTTTCCGTGCCGAATAAGTTTTTTTTCCGGCAATAAAGGCGCCACAATCTGAATTGGCATATTTTGAAATCAAAAAAGGTGACTTGCTGCATACATTCGACATGTAAGATGGGCTTGAAAATACTAAACAAAATTTCGCCTAATAGGTGTCCTATCAATAACGATTTTCTTTTTTTAGAAATTGGAAAAAAACAGAGCTATAAAAGGCGGCAGGACTTTGAGACCATAGGTCTTTATAAAGACAAATTGGTCTGTGTAGAGATCATAGGTCTTGATAAAGACCAATTGGTCTGTATAGGGACCATAGGTCTGTATAGGGACCATAGGTCTTCATAAAGACCAATCGGTCTGTATAGAGACCACCGGTTATTATAAAGACCAATTGGTCTGTATAGAGACCACAGGTCTTTATAAAGACCAATTGTTGTATATAGACCCTAGGTCTTTATAAAGACCAATTGTTGTATATAGACCCCAGGTCTTTATAAAGGCCAATTGTTGTGTATAGAGACCAAAGGTCTTTATAAAGACCAATTGGTCTGTATAGAGACCACAGGTCTTTATACAGAGGCCAAATGCCTTTATAAAGATCAATTGGTCTGTAAAGAGACCGCAGGACTTTATAGAGACCAATTGTTGTGTATAGAGATCACAGGTCTTTATCAATACCAATTGGTCTGTATAGAGACCATAAGTCTTTATAAAGATCAGTTGGTCTGTATAGAGACCACAAGATTTTATAGAGACCAATTGTTGTGTATAGAGATCACAGGTCTTCATAAAGACCAATTGGTCTGTATAGAGACCACAAGACTGTATCGAGACCACAGGTCTTTTTAAGGAGTGAATATATGTAGGAGATCTATATCTCTTATACGATTTTTTTTTTCAGTTAAGCGAATTACAATAAAGCGGAGTCGACTGTAATAGCAGCCTACAATGGTCAAAATTCTCAAATATCATGTATAACAGTGTTTTATATATATACATATATATGCGTTATATTTAAAATTCTGCTAGACCTAGACTCTACTTGTTTCGTTGTTTGAGAAGGAGGCATACATCTAAAAAAATCATAATTTATGTTAAGATTGTGGTTAATAATACAGCCAATGTTTAATCTTTCATTTAAAATTCTTTGAAAATTGAAAAATCAATTTATTTTATTTTTTTTGTTTGGAAAATAGTAACTTTTCTTTGGGAAATACAAAATCGTGTGAAAAAAGTATCTTAAAAAATAAAGTTACCAGAAATAAATTTCAAAAAAATTAAGAATAACACTTTTTATTGGAACCATAAACAATTCAGAAATGCATAAAAACATCTTCACAATTTCTCTCTCCTTTTCATCGTCATCAAAATTTTGTAAAAGTATTTTTTTTCCTGTTCTACTCATTTGTACCTCTATATGCTTTAAACAAATCACGAAACAAAAAATGAAATTGATAAAAAAGAAAAACAAAAACATGGAAACTCTAATGTAGTTGTCTCAAAGAATGCAAAATAAATCTAATAAAATATTTATAATGAAAAAACTTGTTGGTAAAATAAAAATGGAATAAACAGCATCAAATCTAATTATAGACATGTTAATGGTATATAATATATACATAGCTATATATATGTTTTTTTGTTTTTTTTAATCCCTTTTTTGTTATTTTTTTTTCTATTTTATAAATTAATATACATACATTTCTTTAGAATTTTAATATTAATATACATATTTGATTATATAAAAAAATAATTTTAATTGCCCACTGAAAATATAAAGCTAAGCAAAAAAATAACATTTACTCTTTTTCTTCTTCTTACATCATACACAAAGTTATGTAATTCAAGAAATTTTTGTATGTTTTAAAATTAAAAAAAAAAAAATAGATAATGATGCAACTTAATATCATATATAAACAATTTCAGGTTATGGCGTAAGATTCGATTAAATGTCATAAAAACCTTTTTTAAGAAACTCTGCTGCTGCTCTTTACGATTCTCTTTTCAATTTCTTCCCCCTTGTCACTTTTCATGCCTCTCTTCCATTTAGAACTCGGCATAGTTGATGTAAATCCCAGTCATAACCTCATTTTTTTGTTCAAACAAAATTTTTTGAATTATAAAACTTTAAATAAAATATGGTGTAAATTTCATAAGACAGTTTTAAAGCATTGTTTACATACATACATTCATACAAAATATATAATCATGTGACATAAATTACATAATTCATGCATCCTTCTTCACATATAAATAAAATAAAAAGCAAAAATAAAATAAAAATATATATTTTTTAATTTAAACACAACAAAAACAACACACAATATTTTTTGTTTTAAATAATTATTAAGGGCTATATTTAAATAAATAATAATAAAAAAACATTGTAATAAATAACTAAAATAGCAGCAGCTCGAATTTTATTTCATTGTTTAAACCTTAAATAAATAATTTAATTTATAGTATATAAATATAACTGTCTATTGTATATAAAAAATTTGTATTTCATTAAAAAAAGCAACACACACACATACAAAAAACAACAACAACAACACTTGTAATTATAAGAAAAAATAAACCAATAAAAAAGCTTCGATAAATCGTTACAAAAAAATTACACTTTTTTCTTCTTAAAAAATACAAAAACACACACAAATACACTTTTTTATTATTATATTATTATTATCAAATAATTTAGATGTTAAGTTCTTAAGTGAAAACATAAAAAACAAAGTGTTGTATTATGAAAAAAAAGAAAAAAAACAAAAAATAATTTATAAAAAAAACTTGCTATGATACACATATAAATAATTATAGTAAAGATGATGATACACATTAAAAAATTAAAAAAACAACAACAACCACAAAAATAATAATACACTATAATAAAAAACAACAAATTCACCTACGTACATATGTTTAGAAATACATAGTTATATTGACTAAAAGATATTATAAAAAACAAAAACAAGTGAAATAAATTAAAACAAAAAAATTAAAAAAAAAATCCATTGTTTTTTTTCTTTTATTTTTTTCCAAATATCTATTTACATAGCACGTAATTTACATAAAATATTTTCAATAATTGTTTCTACCTCAGCCATTGCACCATTACCCGTATCGCCACACATCAATGTTTTGGATACCGTCGGCACCTCATGATAGCCCCATGATTTTAATTTATTAATATGCTCCGCAGTTATGGGATGATCAAACATGCGCGTATTCATGGCCGGGCAGAAGAGTAGAGGTTTTGTAAAATCCCATGCCCGTACCACACACAGTAAGAGATTATCGCAGAGACCCTGAAAGTGAGACAAAAAAATTAAATTGAATTAAAAAAAAAAACGTGAGGAAATCCTAACATACTTCGCATTTGCATTGAAGGACCACCATTATTTACTTAAAATCAGACGAAAACATATATGGAAGCTATATCTAAATCTGAAGCGATTTTCACACAAATTTGACACACGTAAGGGCTAGCTATACTATCTTCAGAACGTTGTGCAAAATTTTGTGTCAATCGCCTTGATTTTGGGTCTTTGGTGCACCATTTACATAAAATCGGACAAACACATATATGGTAGCTATATCTAAATCTGGATTTGTACATTCATATAAATAAATGAATTCATTTGATCTCCATTTAAAAGGTTCCTCCCCATCCCCTTTTCGATATATGTTAAAAATCATAATTTTTTAATTTGGAACTTGTTTGTCTCAGGAGAACCCGCGCAATTTAGAAAACATTTCTTCAATATCATAGAGAGTGATGTAATAGACCTAAATCAAACACTGGATACATTTCAATTAAATTTAATTTTCAACAAAAATTCTCCATGTTCCGACACTTACAACTGCAATTTTTGCCAATGAATTTGCACTCAGCGGCGCAATTACCAGCATATCAGCCCATTTTCCTAAATCTATATGTACAACAGGATCACCACGTTTATTCCAGGCTGACCATTCACATTGGTCATCGAGTATTTGAACATTGGGTGGTAAATCGGTGGCATTGACAAAATGTTTGGCATGCTCGGTTAAAATTACTTTAATCTGAAAAAAAAAATTACAAAAAAAAAACATTAATAACAAAATCATCCAAAAGCAAAATCACAAAAAAATGTTTACCCACATTAAAATTAAATTCCGTATCCAAATTTTGTAGTTTTTCAATTAACAAGGGTAGTTTAATGGTGGCCACACTTGCGGTGCAGGCCAAAAGTAGATTTTTTGTTGTTTTCATTGTTGGTGGTTAATTAATTTCGCGTTGATGTTGACGATGAGGACGACGACGACGTTGTTTTATCTGTTTTCGTATCTTCAAATCCTAACCGTGACCATTCAGCCTTTTCCATAAGCTCATTCTGCATGCGACAATTTAAATATTCCTGCGCCTCTTTGCGACACTGTGAACTTTGATCGTCACTTTGATGCAGACACCGCATATACAGGAGATAATATTTTTTGCACAGACCTTCGTGGTCAAGTGGAAAGCTACCCTTTTCCGGTGCGGTTGGTATAAATTTGGATTGATTGAAGGTATTTGAAGTCATTTCCAGAAGTGAAGAAGATATCACACACACACAAAGGCAAACAGACCGACACCGTAGATATCAGCTGTTACACAAGCGGTTGACAGTACAAAACAAACGGTTGAGGGTTGACTGATAACAAAACGGCCTGGCCACACAATGAGTACTATCGTCGAATAAAAAACCGCAAATGTTTTTGTTGTACATAAAACATTTTTGATATTATTATTTTTTTTAAATAAAAATTTTTTAAAAATTTCGATAAACAGAACACCCATGCCTGCAAAAATTCTTTACAGATTATTAACAAATTAATGTTCCGAATTTCTTTAAAAAGATTAAGTTATTATAAAATATATTATTAGTAGATTTTATTTAGATAATAAATTAGTTAAAGGAAAAATTACTAACAAATAATCCAAATTAAAAAAAAAATTAAATTAAGAATTCAAGTTTAACGTCTTTTTTTTATTACTTCTACCACTTGTGCAACGTCCCATTTGCCAACGACGTCGCTTTAATGTAACAATGACGGCGTTAGTTATTTAACGACGTTGTGTTATTATTCTTTAGTGAATCACATGAGCCATATCACATACATGGCATTGTTTCAAAATTCTTCAAAAAGATTTATTTATTAAAATAGATTATTAGTAGATTTTATTTAGATAATAAATGTTAACGGAATATTAACAATTCAAAATTAACAACAGTAAATTAAAAAAAAGATTAAAGTCATTTTTTATTACTTCTAACACTTGTCGCTTTCATTTAACAGTAACGGCGTCAGTTATTTTACGGCGTTGTGTTATCATTCATTAGTGAATCACATACATGACATTGCCATATTTTTACTGAGCAAAGGAATTGCCAAAAGTCATATCAACAGCAGCGAATATTAACGGCCTTGTGCAATCACTTTTATTTAAATTAATGAAACAAATAAAATTAACAACAACAACAAGAATAAATTAGTCATTGTGAAAATAATTAAATCATTGTTTCATTTTTAGCAGCATTATGAAGTCATATTTTATTTCATGCAAAAACAATTGTCATCATGCATACATAATAAACTATTCATAGCCGGGAAAATGCAATGTGAAAGAGAGAGGGAGAGGCACAGAGGTTATTTACTGAAGAGAACACTATTACTAAGAGAGCATTCAATGCGGTAAAGTAAATTGAAATAGTGTTGCTAGTTAATAGAGCAGAACAGGAATAGTTGTTTTTATTTTTTTAAGGATATCTACAACGTAGGTCTTCTGCTGAATCATATCCTTTAAATGTATTGATTATTTTTCATTTATATAATACTTTACAGGGCAAAGTTAATGCGTCATTTTGAAGAAAAAAGGCAAAGATTGATTGATGTATGCAAATAACGTTTTATCTGCACAGTGGGACATTTTAGATCAATGGAAATTAAAATAAGTCAAGATTTTTCATAAAATATTATTTTATAATTTAAAAAAACCAGATGAGATCTAGAAAAAAATATTTTATTTTTTTACAAGGCAGGACAAATCATAACAGAACTAAGGCGTTATAGAAAAAAATTTTAAAAATCATTAAGGCGAAAAAAAAATATTTCAGAAATTTATATTATTTAAAGGAAAATTATTTATTTGGATTTTTTTGTCATAAAAACAGTTTTAAAACAAAATTTTCCCATTTTTATAGAATTCTTCCGCAACAGTGACTTATTATTTTTTCTTCCGGACATTGTGATAATTTCTTTTCGAGGTTTTGTTAAGAATTTTTTTTTGCCCAGCGTCTATCATTATGGACATTTTATTTTTGGTAAAATAACCAATTCAAAACACTTGTTGTTCATGGCGATCTTCGAATCGAGAAATTACTTTGTTAATTTATATGCAAATAATGTCTGTCTTACTCCGTTTGTGAAGACAGGTGTTAAATTGTTATTCAGTTCAGTTTATGGTATTCATTAGTATTTTTTAATGCAGAGCAGTGGTAAATGGTAATTAACACTAAATTCATAATTTTTTATACACTCAAAAAATAATAACAATATGGGTTATAAATAATTTCGAATATTTGCAGAAGAACTAGAAAATTCTTCAAAAATTTTTGGGCCCAGAAAAAAAATATTTAGTTGCTATACGAGACCAAGAAAAATTTTTTAAGGGACAACGACCGTCTCGACAAATTTAAAAATGTCTAGAAAAATGGCTTATTTAAGGAAAAAAAAATAGAATTTATTTCTAAAAAATCTAAAATTTTTTCGAGTGTATCCCTTCAACTTCTTTATATAATTTTTATTGTATTTTATAGCTGCACGACTGCACGAAAAATAATGATTCCTTTTTTATTTTCTTGCAAAAAATTTGTGAAAACGTGGTAGCAACAACGACAACTGCTACATCACCTAACCAACTCACCCATAGTGCATTGATGATGATGTCAGATCCCAATCATTGATAGTTTTTGCTTCTTCTATATACAATAACAAAAACAAATTTAAAAAATGACTAAACCTTTGACGACATAGCTAAGCTTAGAAGAAACTGGTATTTGTAGTCATCATCACCATCCCAGCTGTCATTATGTCAGTCATATGGTTTCGTAGTTAAAACGATAAACTGACTGTACCCCACAGAATACCGGCATATTTATTTATTGGGAGAGTTAGAGAGAGCTCAGTTGATTGGTTCTCATTGTTTACTTTATTTTCTTTTCATTCTCGCAGATTCTCTTAAAAACTGCTTAAATGATGTTGGTGGGTTTGTTGCAGTGTTGCCGAAAGTGGGCATTTATGCCCAAAAGTGGGCATAAAATTTGTGAAATTTTTTGCTTCGGTAATATCAATATTGTTTATACTTGTTTTAATAAATATTGATATTTGTTTAACCTAAAAAATATGTTGTGATGTATATTACAGGTCCACGTGTTTGTAAAACCCCGAATTATTACCCCTAGACCCACCTTGTAGTAAACCTATTCGTAATCTCAACCAGCTGAGTAAATCTAGACATGTTTGTCCGCCCGTCTGTCCATTATAAGGTGTAGTTATGGACCAATCATGTAGTTTTGCATGTGTAGGTTAGGATAATGATCAGTTAATATTTGGACGAAAATATATATGGGAGCTATATCTAAATCTGAACCGATTTTTCCCAATTTCAATAGTGTTCGTCCTTGGTTCAAATAAATGAGCTGTGACAAATTTCATTCAAATCGGATCATAAATGCAACCTTTACTTTGTTGACAATTTAACATCTACAGACGGACGGACATGTATAAATCGCCTCAGAAATTGATTCTATGCATATTCTCAAAATGAACCAGGTGTCTATCTCGTTTCCTTTTGCCAGTTACAAACATATGCACAAAGACATAATACCATGTACCACAGTGTGGTAAAGGGTATAAAAGTCCACGTCTTCTGAGAACTCTGAACAAAATTTTTTAAAAGCTCACGCCTTCAGAGACCATTTATTCTAAATTATTCTCTAAAAAAATATTCCTTATAAAATTCACGTCTTGTGAGTGCTCTAAAAATATTTCATACAAAATCTACGTCTTGCGAATCGTTTATTACTACATTCATCAAAAATCCACGCCTTGTGAGTCCTTTAAAAAATAACAAAGCAATAAGCGCCTTGTGAGGTTTTTCGAAACTAAATACTTTAAAAAATAATTGGCTTTAAAAAAATTAATATGAAAAAATTAATTACTTACTTAGCTGGCTTGTTACAGAAAATTTGTTCCATAAACCGAACTTAAAAATATTTCTAGAGGCGTCGGTCTTTTTCGCAGCTTTTCCAATTTGAAAGACCATTTTCGGAAATATTGTTTGCACGTGATCTTTCCATCGAATTCGCGGCCTTACTCTTTTGAGTGCAGCTCGATACGTCTGACTATGTCGATGACGGAAAATAGGTAGTATAGCTCATGGTTCATTCAAAGACGATATACACCGTCGACACAGTTCGACAGAAGAAATTTTTCTCCAAAAATTAAAAGATATGCCTCATCTATTTGCGCAACTACCCATGCTTCAGATCCATATAACAGGTCGTGTAGATCAGCGTCTTGTATAGTGTGAGTTTGATCTGGCGAGAGGTGGCCCTGCATTATGACCCAAACAATACTAAATTTTACACGGGGAAGGGGATCTGCAAAGGAAAAAATCATGAATGTTCTGATGAATATCGGCCTATGGAGACTTTTGTGTGAAAAATGGCAAAATTTATTTCCGAAAAAGGAACCGGGAAGGACAGTTCATTTGAGAGGAGTGGCTGACCTTTAAATTTATACCAATATTATTGATGTATATTCCTGATCTCCGAACATTTGTAAATAGATTATAAAACTAATCTTTCGATGTGGGACATTTTGACGTGACAAGGTGTACGTACCCAATAAGTCATATTGGTGAGGATATACAAATTAGTACATATTCTTATTAACAAAAGATTTTATTATATAAAAACAATTTTTTGCTATTTTTTAACTTTTCGCCATTTAAAAAATATAGAAAAAAATGCTCTCTCTTTTAATATATAATATCAGAGTATACTTGTTCAATCTCGAATTTTTGGGCATAAATTGTTGATTTTGGGCAATTTTTAGGTGCAATTTTGGGCGGAAAAAAAGTTGTCAAACGGCAACACTGGTTTGTTGACGAGCTTCAGGTGTTTCATTCCTGGCGCGTTTTAGGCATTGAAATTTATGAAATTTCGAAAAAAAATTATTTTCAAAAATTCACACGGGTCTAAGAAAATTATTTAAAAAATTATAATGCTTAAAAATTGTTTCATTTATTTATTTTTATTTTCCTATAATGGTCCATCTAATCAGAAATAATCCAAATAATCAAAATTCCCCTCATAATCTCCTTTTAAAATTATTATTTTTTAATAACTGCAATTAAAGCTATGAATTTATAACAATTTATATTATTTTTTACGTTTATTTTATTACTATTCTATTATTTTTCTCATAACAATCCTGCGCCGCCTTCATGCCAAAAACGCGCCAAATGTTAATCAAATGACGCCACCTGCTTTGTTGTTATTAGAATAGTGCATGCAGAAATGCCAATGTCACTCTCTCTTAATAAGAATCTTATTTACTTTATCGAATTGAAGTAAAATAACATAAGAAATAATGACAATAAAATATCTCCTATTAAAACTATATTTTTATAATATTTATCTTAATTTTTTATTATATTATTTAAAAACAAAACGCCACATTCATACAAAAAACGCGCCAAATGTTAATCCCCTGTTTAGCTGTGAAGAGAATGCCTAGAAATGCCATTGTCGCTATCTCCCTCTCTCTCTCTCTCTGTTTGCCCGCCCATCTCTTAATAAGAATCTTATTTAAATTTCCAATTGGAGCAAAAGAGCGCCAGAAATCACAGCAATAGAAATTTCTACATATTTTCTGTTTGACAAACACCTTATTTAAAGAGCGTTGATGTGAAAAAACTTGGACAATTCAGTCATTAATAGCAGAGCGTCGAGTGAAGACGTTGATAGCGGAAGATTTAAAAAGAAAAAGTAATCAAGCAAATCAAAAAAGCAACAAAATGCCAATTGGTAAGTTTTTGTGTGTTGTGTTAATATAAAGTGAATATTTAAATTATTTTTTTCAATATTATTCACATAGTATTATTGTGTATATCTACTAGAAAAGAAAAAAAGAATGTGCAGTTTGTACGAAATTTAAAGTAAAAGAAGAGCAAAGACAAAGATTTGTGGTGAAGGTTGAAGTGAAGTTGTTTGTGTGGTGGCCGGTGTTGATGATGATGATGACGGTAATGTGTGAAAAAAGAAATTTTATTCAGCAAGTGACCCCAAATAGAGTTCTGGCAATGAGCCAAGGGGAAACAAATAAAATAACAACAAAATTGCAAATTCGAATAAAAAGACAGCAGCAAATACTTTTTGCAAAAATTATATAGAAAAGAATTTCAAATTTCTCGGAAAAATATGTACATATGTTGTTGTTGAAAGGAAGATTAAATAAATTTTAGAATTCCAAAATATCCCAAGGCCTTAATGGGCACAATTATGGATACAAATTTGGTAAAATTGGAATTTATCCAGTGAGGGTTTGTTTTTAATATTTATTTATTTTTTTTTTGTTACAGAAATATTAAAATAATTTTATTTCTTTCCATATCCATCCACCTTTCACCAGAGATTTTGTAAAGGGAAATATGTCATGCAATTCCAATTATTCATTCAAAACGAAAATGAATCCTCTCAACCTAATCTTCAAATAATTATCATATAAATTACAAAATTTTAAAGTAGCTTTGAAAAGAATTTTGAAAAACCGTAATCATCAATTCCAGTCACCCGGCCCTCGCCCTACTCTCATAACTGAACTACCTTGTCGTCCGTCTCCATAACATGATCATTGAGTTTTTATTATAACTGCTGCTTGCGACCTACCTCTGCCGTTTTAATTGTGTGATACTTTCAATGTAGACGAGACAACATCTCTATCCCATAAGGCCACCACCAGCAGCAGCAGCCATTCGAAGATTTATTGTCTAGTAGTAAAAATTGGGGAGAAGAAAGGAAAACAAAAAAGCATGATGTCATGCTTGCCGATTTTAGTTTTCATATGATTCGAACAAGCAAACGCTAATGAAAACATGTTGTTTTTTTCAAACATTTTGTTTTTTTACTTGTTTTCAAAACACATTCTTAATTCCATAAGTTTGTATCTGACTCCCCCACCCCCCCAAACCTACACTCGTTAACAAACAAAAGTGGGACATTCTCGAAATTCCTATACAAAAGCCAAGCTTGGAGTTTGTAGCTAAAAAGAGTGTGAGAGAATTTTATTTCAGTATATAAAGAGGATAATGCGTTTAACTAATTTGGACAGTGGCTCACGGTTATATAGATATAAACTAAGAATTAAACAAATATATTCTAAAAAACTTATTAATTCCTAAAAATATACAAAAAAATTTAATCAAAAGCTAGAAAAATATTTATATGAAAAATTAAAAAATTCAAATATTTGAAAAAAAAAAATACTTTTTGTATTAAACATTATAATTTTGAAAATTTTAATATATGAAAAATATATATGTTTGAATTTTTATAAAAAAAATAAAAATGGTTTCATAATTTAAATATTTCTGAAATTCCGAAAATTCAATTTGTAAAAAAATCAGATATTTTTGAAACTTAAAATATTTAAAATTTTTAATAATATAGTCAATTCAAAAAATATGAAAATTTCAATATTACTCTTTAAATACTACGAATAATTTGAAATAATTTAAAATAAGATTTTTTTCTCTGATTTTTTTTTGAAAATTTCAAATAATTTTGTGCCTTTAAAATTTTAATATTTATTTTTACCTATGAGCCACTGTACCATAAAACCTCAGAGAATTTATTTCCAAAAAAGAGAACTAAATTCTCTTAATTTTATTTATCATTAACTGCCTATCTCTTTAATGGATTATTATTTTTTCAATATTTTTTTAAATATTGTAAATTTTTATAATTAATTCCTTCTTCTTGTTTTCCAGAAATTGAAACACCCGATGCCTTGACCTATCAATTCCATCCCGTTTCGGAACAGGTATTCACATTCAAGGTACGCTGTGCCCACGATGCCCATTTGGCATTGACGGCCCAGCCCGCTGAGGGCGAGCCCATGTATGAAATATTCCTTGGCGGTTGGGAAAACAGCAAATCTGTTATTCGTAAAAATCGTCAAAAACCCGATGTTGTTGAGGTGCCCACACCCGGTATCTGTAATGCTGGTGAATTCCGTGGTTTCTGGATTCGTTGGTATGACAATGTTATTACCGTTGGTCATGAGGGTGAAGCTGCTGCTTTTATGTCCTATGAAGATCCGGAATTGTTCCCCATACAATATGTGGGTGTGTGCACAGGATGGGGTGCCAGTGGCACTTGGTTGATTGATGGTAGGTTGAAAAAAATCATCCTTTATATTTTATTTCAAATAATTATTTTTTACTTTGTTATTCTAGAACCTGCTCCCGTTGCTGTGTCCGCCCCCATGGGTTTCACTGCCCCCACCGGTGGTAGTGGTAGCGGCAATTGGGTCCCTGCCGCCAATGGTGAAATTCCCCCCGAGGCTTTGCAGGGCGGTTTCGATGGCAGTGAACAGCTGTATATTGCCCGTGCCCAACACGAAGGTGATATGATTCCCGGCAAATTGCATCCATCCCACGGTGTCTGTTATGTTGCCTATGGTGGCGGCGAACATGGCCACAGTGAATACGAAGTTTTGTGTGCCGGTTTTGGTATTTGGGTACCAGTTACTGATGGTTCAATACCACCAAATGCTGTCCAAGCTGGTACCACGGCCGATGGTGAACCACTGTTCATTGGTCGTGCCACTCATGATGGTACTGTTACCGTTGGTAAGGTGCAACCATCGCATGGCTGCTGTTACATTCCATATGGCGGTGAAGAATTGGCCTACAAAGAATATGAAATCTATTGTGAACAGTAAACAAAAATGCATTTCACCTTGAGAGAGCGCGCAGGCGCCCATGCTAGGGGCCATCACACTTTTTTGTTTGGCATGTTATTAGAGTATGTAGTATTTTATTTGCACTGCAGACTATTTATTTGGTCAATTATTATCGTTGTTAATGATGCCTTGTAGCAGCTACACACACAAAAACACGTACAACGCATAACTTGTCTCGAATAGTTGTTGTTGACTTTTTTGAATCAAATTCGAAAAATCACAAAAATATCATCACTCAACAAAATTAAATTGTATTTTTATGTAATTGTATTAATTTATATATATGTATGTTTAAAGAGAGAGCAAAAATATATATGCAAACAAAAACATAATAAATAAAAAAAACGTATTTTATTTGTTTTTCTACATGGAGAATTTACCTAAAAAATGGTTTCCAGATTGTAACGAATTCTTCTTTATAGATTAATTTTAGGTCATTGGCGTCAATGGAAAAATTGTTCTATATCAAATTTTATTAGGGGTCACCGAGAAAAAGAAATTGGAATATAGACTATATATCCGCTAAAAATCGGTTTTAATTTGTGAATGCGAAAAGGAAATAATTAAGAATTATTTGCTTTAAAATGGTTTCCCAATTGTGCCCATATCTTTCCTAATGGTTCATTTTAGGGGGCCAGTGTCAATGGAAAACTTATTATACATCAATTTTCGTTAAGGGTAACCGAACAAAAGAAATCTGTATATAGAATATATATCCGCAAAAATCGGTATTTATATTTGGAATAATTGAAAAAAGAAAAATAATATTTGCTTTAAAATTGTTTTCCGATTGTGTCCATATCTCCACTAAAGATTTATGTTAGGAGGTTGGTGTCAATGGAAAAAATATTCTATATAAAATTTCGTTAGATGTCATCTTACAAAAGAAATCGGTATATAGAATATATATCCGCAAAATATCGGTTGTAATTTGTGAATGCGAAAAGGAAATTAGTACGAATTATTTGCTTTAAAATGGTTTCCCAATTTTGTCCATATCTTCCCTAATGGTTCATTTTAGATGGTCAGTGTCAATGGAAAACTTATTCTACATCAAATTTTGTTGGGGGCCACCGAGCAAAAGAAATCTGTATATAGAATATATATCCGCCAAAAATCGGTATTTATATTTGGAATAATTGAAAAAAGAAAAAGAATATTTGCTATAAAATTATTTTCCGATTGTGCCCATATCTCCAATAAGGATTCATGTTAGGAGGTTGGTGTCAATGGAAAAAATATATATATATATATATATATTGTGTATATATATATATATTGTGTAAAAAAGAAAAAGAATATTTACTATAAAATTGTTTTCCAATTTTGCCCAAATCTTCCCTAATGGTTCAGTTTAGGGGGCCACTGTCAATGAAAAACTTATTCTATATCAAATTCCGTTAGGGGTCACCGAACAAAAGAAATCGGTATATAGACTATATATCCGCAAAATATCGGTTTTAATTTGTGAATGCGAAAAGGATACTATAAAGAATTATTTGCTTTAAAATGGTTTTCCAATTGTGCCCATATATCCACTAAGGCCCAGTGTCAATGGAAAACGTATTCAACATCAAATTTCGTTAAGGGTCACCGAACAAAAGAAATCGGTATATAGAATATATATCCCAAAACAATCGGTATTTATATTTGGAATAACTGAAAAAAGAAAAATAATATTTGCTTTAAAATGGTTTCCTAATTGTGCTCATACCTTCCCTAACGGTTCATTTTAGGGTGTCAGTGTCAATTGTAAACTTATTCTACATCAAATTTCAAAAGAAATCGTTATATAGAATATATCCGCAAAAAATCGTTTTTAATTTGTGAATGTGAAAGGGAAATTTGTAAGAATTATTTGATGTAAAATGATTTCCGAAATGTGCCAATTTCTCCCCTAAGGATTCATTTTAGGAGGTCGATGTATTCTATTCTAAATCAAATTTCATTAGGGGTTACCGATCAAAAGAAATTGATACTTTTAATAAATATCCCTAAAAAGTCAGAATTTTAATTTGGTATGTTAAATTATGTTACTACATTTTGTATCCAATGTTGTACCACCACCAGCAAAATAAAACACAAATTGAATTAAAATGTGTGTGTTTTTGTGTTACAAGTTGTTTATTTATTTTTTTGTTCTTGATTATCTTATTCTTTTTTTAATAAGTTTTTGTTTTTTTTTGTTTAATTTAAATATTTATTTAGAATGGTTGTTGGTATGTATGACGAACGTGGTGTAAGGTGTTTATTTGATTTTTTTCTTCTTTTGTATTTCAAAAAATTCTGAGCATACAACATACGACAATGTTTTATTTATTTATTTTTTTATATATAAATTCTATTTTTCATTTATTATTGAAAGGATTAAGTACGTATAGTGGAGCATACAATTAGATGGATGTATGTATGTACGGATGAAAGAGTTTATTTAATTTGTTTTTGTTTCTATATTAAGTTATTTTTTTTAACTGGTCTTGTTCTTGGTTGGTTGATTAAGGATTTGTGTTTTAAATTGTTTGTTTTGTTTTTGATTAATTATATTTTGTTATCTTTTATATATATTTTTTTATATATGTATATGATGTATGCATAAGTAGTTTTGTTTGTTTTTTTTTATAAATAATATATGTATGTACAAAGTTACCATGTATTAATAAACATAAATAAATATTTTTTGTTAATTTTTAATATATATATTTCTGGTAAAGCAATTTAACTTGAGTTTCTTTAAGGAAATGTATTTAGTTGAGAGTGTTTGTATGTTTGTGTTTTGTTTTTTGAATATGAATAAATATGTTTTGAAAAATTGAACTGAAATTGTGATTTGTGGTCCCCGGAAATTTAGGACCAGGTTGTTGCTGGGTTATGATATATTGCAAGTTGTTTGGTTTTTGTTTTGTTTATATAATGTAAATGGTTTTGAGTTGACAAGATTTTAGCATTACAACATTTTTTGCTGTGTTAATGTTAACAATTTGTTTTTTTTATATATTTATTTCTTTTATATAAATTGCTATTTTATTTTAGTCTTTAAATGGGGATTAGGATTAACAAAGTTTCTTCTTCTTCATCTTTTTTTCTATAATATACTTTTGTTTTTGTATATATACTTAACTTGCTGGTTTTGTTTATAATAATAAAGTTCTATATCAAACATTTTGCAAATGAGTTGGTATATATGTATATTTTTTGTTTAAATATTTTTTAGTCTTAATTTTTGTTTTTAGATTTTAAGTTATTTATTTGAAATATCCATTAGTTTAACAAATCTAAGTTTTACATTTTTCATTCAAACGTCGTCCCATGGTATCATTCAATAATATTATTAATATTATCTTTTTTATTATGCATTTAGGTATTACAAAAAAATATGAAATATTTTTCCCTTACATTGTTGTTGTTGTTTTTATGATAAAAATTAGGATAAAAAGTTGTTTGTTTTTTTTAATAAATATTGTTGTATAGATCGTATATTTGAACTAATTTTTTTATTTCAAATTAGTTTTTTATTAAACACTTTTCTAGTTCATTTCTTTCATTAAATATAAATTTTAGTTAAATTTGTTGCCGGTTGTAAATTCAATTTATGGAATTAGTTCTTTTGCGTGTGTAAAGACCATTGGGCAAATTGTTCCTGCCACTGGCTACTGGCTGAGTTGGTTTGCTGGAAATAAAAAAAAATATAGAAAAGAAATTAATTATTAATAATTCAATACATTTGAAATCTAACGTAACCTCAAATTGCCTAAAAAACTTTTGTATATATTCACAAAATAAAGGTATATATTCACAAAGAATATTTGCTATAAAATTGTTTTCCGATTGTGCCCATATCTCCACTAAGGCTTCATTTTAGGGGGTCAGTGTCAATGGAAAACTTATTCTATAGCAAATTTTGTTAGAGGTCACCGAGCAAAAGAAATCGATATATAGACTATATATACGCAAAATATTGGTTTTAATTTGTGGATTTAAAAAAAGCGAGTAATAAGAATTAATTGCTTTACAATGGTTTCCCAATGTTGCCCATATCTCCACTAAGGCTTCATTTTAGGGGCCTGTGTCAATGGAAAACATATTCTACATTAAATTTCGTGTGGGGTCACCAAACTGAAGAAGTCGGTATATAGAATATATATCCGCGAAAAATCGGTATTTATACTTGGAATAATTGAAAAAAGAAAAAGAATATTTGCTTTAAAATGGTTTCCAAATTTTGCCCATATCTTCCCTAATGGTTCATTTTAGGGGGCCAGTGTCAATGGAAAACTTATTCTATATCAAATTTTGTTAGGGGTCACCGAGCAAAAGAAATCGATATATAGACTATATATCCGCAAAATATCGGTTTTAATTTGTGAATTTAAAAAAGAGAGTAATAAGACTTAATTGCTTTAAAATGGTTTCCCAATTGTGCTCATATCTTCCCTAATGGTTCATTTTAGGGGGCCAGTGTCAATGAAAAACTTATTCTACATTCAATGTCGTGTGGGGTCACCGAACAAAAAAAGTCGGTATATAGAATATATATCCCCAAAAAGTCGATATTTACATATGGAATAATTGAAAAAAGAAAAAGAATATTAACTATAAAACGGTTTCCCAATTGTGCCCATATCTCCACTATGGTTTCATTTTAGCCGGTTGGTTTTAATGAAAAAAATTTTCTACATCAAATTTCATAATGGGTCCCCGAGCAAAAGAAATCTGTATATAGACTATATTATCCGCAAAATATCGAGTTAATTTGTGAATGCGAAAAGGAAATAAGTAACAATTATTTGATTTAAAAAGGGTTTAAATTTTGCACATATCTTCCCTAATGGTTCATTTTAGGGGGTCAGTGTCAATGGAAAAAATATTATACCTCAAATTTCCTGAGGGGTCACCGAGCAAAAGAAATCAGTGTATAGAATAAATATCCACTAAATATTGTTTATATTTTTATAAATTTCAAAAGAAATTATAAAGATTAATTAGCTATATATTTGTTTCCGATTTGAGCCGATATCTTCTTTATTACATCATTTTTGGGTATTGTTGTCAATGGAAAAAATATTCTATGGCAATTTTCATTAGAGATCTTCGACCAAAAGAAGTCTGTAAGTATGAAAAATATATCTAAAATATCTATTATAATTTAAGGTTACAAATTAGAAATCATTTTAAGTATTTTCGGTAAAATAGTTTTTAATTATGACCATATCATCCCTAATGCATTATTTTAGGTGGTTGGTGTCAATGGAAAAAATATTCTATGGTAAATTTCATGAAGGGTCTTCGACCAAAAGAAGTCTGTAAGTATACAAAATATACCTAAAATATCGATTACAATTTGAGGTTACAAATAATAAATTATTTATAACTATTTTGGGTAAAATAGTTTCCGAATTATGACCATATCTTCCCAAAAGCATTATTTTAGGTGGTTGTTGTCAATGGAAGAAATACTCTATGGCATATTTCATTAGGGGTCTTCGTCCGAAAGGAACCTATAAATTCAATATAACCCCCCGAAATATCAATTACAATTTTAGGTTATAAAAACGAAAAAAAGTTTTATGATTATTTGCTGATAAATGGTTTTTGATTTGTGCCGATATCTGCCTTAACACTCGCTTCTAGATGATTGGTGCCAATGAAAAAAATATTCTAATGTATACTCTATATATACCCTAAAAATATCGATTATATATTGAAATTATTATTAATAAGAAATTGAAGTTTAATTTTTTTGAAATTTACCTTATCATTCCAATCAACATTTATTGTTTGTTGGGGGTCTTCAAAATCTGCAAGAATGTTAGAAAAAGAAAATCATGATTTTAGAAATAGAATTCAAGACCCAAGTGTTTTTTTAATTGATATACCAAAAAATCTAAATGAAAGAAAAAACTGAACTGAAGAGGATATTAGTTAACGCCACAATATTCTATATATGTTTAGACGAATAGTAAAACACATGGTGCTACAAGTTGGGAGAAACAACAACAACACAATAAATGTTTTGCTTTGTTTTTGTGTGTGTTTTTTTTTACTTGTAAATTGACCTAGTTGTACCTATAATACTGTAGGAAACTATAATTTACCTTGAGGTTATAAATGAAATATATATATTTTTTAATTTGAAACAATCGCCTAAAAGTATGCAACAATTTCTAGTATATTTTTTATATTCCATTTATAACTTGCCATTTGAAAGGCTATGATTTCCTGGGTCATTTTATAAGTATCGGTGTTTGTTTCTTGATGTGACAACTTGACAACTACATTTACTATATGGAAATGAGGTCTCTTTATCGATCTGTCTAATCTGGGATATGATGTACCTTTTAAGATCTCGGGAAACATCATGAACCTATTATAATACACTATGAGAATGGTCAAAACCAAAACAAAAAATATCGAGTAAAGGCGAAAAGGCTCTAAATAGTCTAATAATGGTATGTGTGTGGTATATTACAGAATAGAATAGAAAAAGGAATAGAGAACAAATTAGAAGGAGGCAACAAACAACAACATGGTATACTATATATGTATATATACAAACAACTATAAGATGATGAGAGGCTAAAACAACAACACAGGAGGAAGCGGTTTGTTCGATTCGGTGGTTTCGATAGGCAAAGTAAGAAAAATATGAATTCAGAATTTTTTGCTTTAAATCAAACAATACCATCTGAGCAATGAAAGATGTTTTGAAAATTTGTATTTGTATTTTTTTTTTTTGGATTGGTATTACTGATGGATGACTTTTGGGTGGAGGGGGTAGAAGAAAATAACAACAAAAAACATATACCTTTTTGGTTTTTTTTTTGTGGTGGAACAATTACAACAATTGGTAAAATTTTAAATATAATTAATTTTTTTCGTTTTTGTTTATAAACTCAAACTATATTTTAAAAGATGAGCGTGCATAATCAACTGCAATTCATCGATTGTCTCACCGATTTCATGCAATAGTGGGAAACCAGCATCTGCATCATCGATGAGAACCTCAGGATAGTGTTTATAGCCCATGACACGATTGATGTGGGCATGCTCCTCATCAATATCAAAATCGGAATCTAATTCAACTTCGGAATCATGATCGAGACGATATTCAAGATCTTTTAACAGCAAGTGATTGTTGCCGCCCACAACACTACCAGCACCAGCACCACTAGCTAAGGCGGCAGCCATTGATCCTAGGAAATCATGGTCGTTAGAGGAGTGCAGCAATTGTTGCTGTTGTTGTTGTTGCTGTTGCAGATGTCTTATACTTGAAGATATACCACTACTATCGCATAGACTTAAACCAAAATTATAATCCAAATCGAAATCGTCATACGCCTCGTCTTCTTCATTTTCTTCGAGATCTTCGGCTGATTCATCACCTTCTATGTGACGTAGTAAGTCTACTGGCATATTTAAATGCATTAATAATATAGTATATATATATGTATATAGTGTATATATATTTAGAGAGAGATAGACAGTATGTATGTGTATAGATGTATATATCCAATATTTTTTTGGAAAGCAATTTATCTTCATATGGCGAGAGAGACAGAGAGAAAGAATGCATAATAGAGAATAAGTTAAGTAGTAGCACAAAACGTAGAAGATGATACTCAATCTAACAATTGCAGTGTTTGTGTCTTTTACGTCTATTGGGAAAGTAATCTATAACAGAGAAAAAAACAGAATTGAAAGAATTGTGAAATCATTGCAAATCAAACCATCATTCACCATTATATTTGGAGCAGGTGGGGCGGTAGAGGTAAGAGAGAGTAGAGTAGGGTGGGGAAAAAGCAGCTCCGTTTGTGGGTGTGTGTGTGCGTGGGGGATTCAAGTCATGCTTTCACAAAAAAAAAAACTATGTGTCGAAATTAAAAAACAATTAGAACAACAGGTTACAAATGGGTAATTATTTATTCTAGTTCCGAATTATGACCATATCTTCCCTAATGCATTATTTTAGGTGGTTGGTGTCAACGGAAAAAATATGCTATGGCAAATTTCATGAAGGGTCTTCGACCAAATGAAGTCTGTACGTATTCAAAATTTACCAAAAAATCGGTTATAATTTGAGGTTACAAATAAACATTTATTAATAAATATTTGCTGTAAAATAGTTTCCGAATTATGACCATATCTTCCCTAATGCATAACTTTTAGGTGGTTGGTGTCAATGGAAAAACTATTCTATGGCAAATTTCATGAAGGGTCTTCGACCAAATGAAGTCTGTAAATACTAAAAATTTTCCTAAAATATCGATTATAATTTGGGGTTACAACTCACGAAGTAAATACTAAAAATTTTCCTAAAATATCGATTATAATTTGAGGTTACAACTGCATAAGTAAGTATAATTATTAGTTGTAAAATAGATTCCGAATTATGACCATAACTTCCCTAATCCATTATTTTAGGTGGTTGGTCTCAATGGAAAAAAATATTCTACGGTAAATTTCATTAGGGGTCTTTCACCAAATGAAGTCTGTAAGTATTCAAAATTTTCCTAAAATGACGATTATAATTTGAGGTTGCAACGGCATAATTAAATATAATTATTTGCTGTAAAATAGTTTCCGAATTATGAGCATATCTTTTCTTATGCATTATTTTAGGTAGTTGGTCACAATGGAAATTTCGACGGGTCACCGAACAAAAGAATTATGTAAATATAATATTAATCCCTAAAATATGGGGATAGATTTTTTATATTACAAAAATAAATGATTACAAATTAATTGGTATAATATTTTAATTTTGTTGATATATTCCTTAAAAATTCATTTTATCGCATTGGTGTCAATGGAAAAGTGGTTCTATAACAAATTCAAGGAGGGGTCACCAAACAAAAGAAACTGCTATTTTGGATATATATCCATGAAAATATATTTTCCAATTTTGATATAGAAAAAGTAAAGTCATAACAATAATTTAATATAATACTGATTCCGAATTCGGTCGAAATTTCCTCCATTATGTCATGTTAGCTATATGGTGTCAATGGAAAACTTGTTCTATACCAAATTTCATGAAGGGTCTCTGAACAAGGGAAAACTTTATATGTACTATAAATCAGTAAAAATGAGGTATTAATTTGAATATATATACAAAAAATATATATCTTTATTAATATACTGCTGTAACATTCGATATTCGATTTTCCTAATTTTTAACAAAATAACCAGTAATAGCAGGAGGGAGTGGTGTAAAAGTAGGAACTATTCTTTATTCCAATATATACCAGCTTATATATCTAGATATGAGAAATAATATCGTTGGAATTTTGGTCCAGCTTAAAATAAAATATAAATGTATTGGGAAAAATCACCCCCAAGTCTGGACATTTTCAATCAGAAGTCGTAACTTTAGGAGGTTGATATTAAGGAGAAAAATATTCGTTATTGTATTTCACTATGGGTCCCCATACAAATGAAATTTGTAACTGTGTTACATATAACAAAAAAGTAATCAAACAAATTGGACTTTGTTTTGGGGAATATTTTACAATACTTAATTATGGAAAAAAACTAATTTTCGAATTTCATCAAATTCAATGGAAATCAGCACTTTAGGTAGTTGATGTTAAGAAGAAAAATATTCTATACTAAATTCTACAATGGATCCCCATACAAAAGAAATTCATAAATATGAAATATATAGCAATAAATTAACAATCCAAATTGGGTTTTATTTCTGGAGATTTTCTCACAATAGTTTATAAAAGTAAGAAAACATAATTTCAAATCTGACCAAATTCAGTCAGAATTCAGTATTTTAGGTGAAAAGTATTCTATATAAAATTTCATTATAGGTCTCCACATAAAACAAATCCGTAATTGGATCATATATCTCAAAAAATCCAGTTTTGTTTAGTTAAATTGTTTTCATGATGGAGCGATGAACCTACATATATTCCAAATTTGGACAATTTTAAGCAGAAGGCTTCATTTTAGCCGGCTGGTGTCAATGAGATAATTATGCTAAAGCAAATTTAACTATAGGTCTACTCACAAGAAAAATCTGCAACTCTGCAATATTTATGAATAGATTAACAAAACAAATTTGGTTATGAAAATGAACTTTGTATTGGAAAATGTTTCTAAAAAAACTTCTTTATGGAGAACATAATGTCTCAGTAGTGGTAGGTTTATTCAATATTTCCATTCAAATGCAATCTTTAAATCCCTCCAAACACACACAAACACAAGGAAGAAAGCTTTTACCACAGGGAAAGTAAAGGATTTGTTGCATATTCGATATAAAAAAGCCACTTACCTAAAGGCATTATAAAACGGGTCTGAGAAGAAGGTTTAATTGCTTGTACTGCAAAAACGTTTATTATTTTTTGTTATACACACATACAAACGCGGCCAGGCCACACACACACATATATTCAAAGATAAAGGAACCATTTAGAAACATTTAAATTTTGTTCTTTGTATAGTAAAAGATATAAGTTTTCTACAATTGTAAGCTGCTGGCGATAGACATTTATGTGCGTTTGGTGTGTGTGATGGGTAGAGGTCCCAGTTGGAAAAAAAATAGAGAATAGCCAAAAACTACAACGCATTTTTTATCAGTTACACACAGACTGAGAAGTAGGGAGAGAGAGAATAATGAATGAGCTGGTGATTCTATGCTAGGCATGGCCAACATTTTTTTCAACGACAAGCATTTGCAATGATTTACCTGTATTGAGATCATTAAGAAGTGTTGATAACATATCAATTGAAGACTCATGGACTTCATCTTTTGTCTCATGTGTTAGTTGTTGTTCATGGGCAGAGGAGGAGGAATCATTTTCATGAACACTTTCGCGATGTTGATCATTATTGGATGGCTCATTAGTCGAATCAAGATTAAAGTATTCATCGACATCAACTGTATTGTTTTGAGAAAATTTCATTAAAACTAAAAAATATATAGAAGCCTTAAGAACCAAAAACCTTTTCTTCTTACACTTTCCTAAAACAAAACAGGCTTAACAAAACTTATAGAAAATTTGTTGCTTGTACTTAAGAGAGAGATTACCGGAAAAATCAAATATTTCTTATATCTTATACTCACTTCCACTTCCATTGCTATTAAAACCACCCCTTGATTCCGTTGCATCTAAGGGATTTTGACCGAACTGATTTTGATTTAATGGCGAGGCTTGTTGCATACGCAGCACACTACCGGCAGCCGATGAGCTGCCTAACATACTGTGGCCACCACCGGCTGTATTGCTTGACATTTGATTAAGTAACGAGCCCATGGGTGAGGTACCCAAGGTGTTGAGACCCCCACTGCCACCTCCTGAGGCACAACCACCTCCGCCGCCGCTGCCAGCCATGGGCATGGGTGGTGATTTACCAGAGCGAGGACTAGAATTTGGTGTTGATCTGGGTGAAGAGGTCTGTTGATTTTTTAACATACGCATAAGACCCTCTAGTTGTTCCATAAGTTGTCGCCGTGAATCTTGTAGGGCACCCAAATGGCCCTCCAGTTCACCTTTACGTTGACGCAATGCTCGCAGTTCATTGATTAAAGCTGGATTTTCGGGAGCCATTTGTTCGGCTTCTTGCTGACGTCGTAGACGGGCAATTTCACGCATTATTTCCTTGTTCTTACATTCTAATTGAGATATAAGTTCACGTTGGGCTCTGGAATTATCCGAGGCAATGTTATCCGTATTGCTTGTATTGCTGGGCTGGAAAAAAAAGAGAAAGGAAATTAAAAATTATTAACAAAAAATAATAATAACGAATATAATATGGTTTTGTGTCAATGTAGGAAATATTCTATATGAAATGTCGCTATAGATCACCGACCAGATGATGCCTCCATATATTATATAACAAATATCTTTAAAATATTTATACAAATTTAAAAATATAATTAAAATTTTTTTGTGAAAAGGCATTTTTAAATCATTACCATTTCACCCTGAAGGCTTCATCGTAGAGGACTGGTTTCAATGAGAAAAATATTCTACACTAATTTTTACTATGGGTCTCCACATAAAAGAAATCTGTATCTTTAAAATACATAGGTTTAAATTATCAAAACAAATTTGATGACAAAAATATATTTTTACTATTTTATTGGTGAAAAGGTGTTTTCAAATCAGGCCCAATACACCCTGAAGGCTTTATCGTAGAAGATTGGTTTCAATAAGAAAAATATTCTATACTAAATTTTACTATGGGTTTCCATATAAAATAAATCTGTATCTTTAAAATACATAGGTATAAATTATCAAAACAAATTTGAGGACAAAAATATATTTTTACTATTTTATTGGTGAAAAGGTGTTTTCAAATCAGGCCCAATACACCCTGAAGGCTTTATCGTAGAGGATTGGTTTCAATGAGAGAAATATTCTATACTAAATTTTACTATGGGTCTCCATATAAAATAAATCTGTATCTTTTTCAATTCAATTCATTTTTTTTTATAAACAAGAACCTAGCCCAAAGGGCCATGAGCGATTCCAAAAACTTCTTTACATGGACTACTCCAAAAGCTTAAAATTAACAGTATATCACTTAATTATATCATAACCAACAATACATGAACTACTCCAAAGGCTTAAAATTAATTAACGATTAATTATTAATCAATCCATAAATTCAAATTAAAACATATCTTTAAAATACATAGGTATAAATTATCAAAACAAATTTGAGGACAAAAATGTGTTTATACTATTTAATAGGTAAAATTGCATTTTCAAATCAGGCCCAATTTACCATGGGTCTCCACATAAAAGAAATGTGTATGTTAAAAATACATAGATATAAATTATCAAAATAAAATTGATGACAAAAATGTATTTTGTACTATTTTTTCGGTGAAAAGGCATTATTAAATTTGGTCAAATTCACCCAAAGGACTTCATTTCAGGAGATCGGTGTTAATGGGAAAAATATTCTATACTAAATTTCACTAAGGGTATCCACATAAAACAAATATGTGGCTTTATAATATATAGCAATAAATTACCAAAACAGATTCAAAAAAAAAATCACACAATGCTTCATTATGGAGAAAACATGCAATATATTTCCTAACCCTTCCCAATTCGCCCAGATAGCTTCATTTAAGACACTGGTTCTAAGGAGAAAAATATTCTACATCAAATTTCAGTATAGGTCTCCACACAGAAGAAATCGGTAACTGTATTATAGATTGCTATAAATTAATTGTTTTCTCTCACAACGCTTTATTGAACATACTCCAAACCTGGCTTAATTAGCACTGAATGCTTCATTTTAGGACACAGGTTCTAAAGAGAAAAATATTCTACATCAAAACATGACCAAATTCACAGAAAAAGCTTAATTTTAGGACACTGGTTCTAAGGAGAAAAATATTCTACATCAAATTTCAGTAAGGGTCTCCACACAGAAGAAATCGGTAACTGTATTATAGATTGCTATAAATCAATCAAACAAATTGTTTTCAGACATTTTCTCACAATGCTTTATTGTGCAGGAACACATTTTCAAACATGACCAAATTCATAGAAAAGGCTTCATTTTAGGACACAGTTTCTGTTTCTATGTAGTGTAGGTCGTTACATCAAACCAATTAGCGTTTTCAATTTTCCCCCCATCTACTTACAGCACGATTCTCTTGAGCCAAACGCGCTGCATAACGCGCTATCAAACGATGTTCTTCATCGTTGGCCGATGCAGCGGCAACACGCGACGACGATGTGCCACCACCATTGGCACTATCAACACTACGCCCGGTGGCTCTTGAATCTAGGGTACTGGAACGATCAAACAGAAGACCACCAATACCTCCTCCTCCGCCGCCTGGTATACCGGGACCACCCAGGCCATGTAACAATGAGGGATCCGCAAAACCGTTATGTGAGGGCAATGGCGACGGTGGCACAATATGTGACAGATTCAACGTCTTCTCCGGCTGTTCGGGAAATCGTGGCAACACTTGACTTGTCTTTTCCGGCACACATCGGAAACTTTTGCGCAACGAATGGCCAATCTGTTTGCTGGGCGATTTATAGCTGGAGTATTCTTTTACCTCGTGATCGTTTTGATGATTCAACGATGTCTTGCCGTGCCAAAAGCACTCCTGGCACAATTGGTAGGCGTGACACCGTTGACAACGATAACGAAAGCCGGTAAAATTCTCCTTATGGCAGACGGAACAGATTGTCGGATGGACAATTGTTTCGACGGTGGCCAGACGATGCAACAGCGGTAGCCAGACCAGACATGAGGGTCCGGGCTCAGACATAAGTGTTGCCATGAAATCGTTAACGGTGATTTTATTCTCGGAGGGGAAGATTTGCTCTTCGAGGCCATCTGTATAGTGGAATGTGGGCGATTCGTATACAGCAGCGGGCAGGGCAAGGACTTCTTTTAAGAATTCGGCTAATTTCCAGTTGACCAATTGGCCGGCACCATCTGAGATCTGAGAGAATATGTCTGTGCAAAGAGAAGAGGGGAGGAAATTAAAAATTGTTTTTTTGTTTTCTTTCGTGGTTTACTTACATCTTAGTTTATCCACCAATTTGCCGGAGCACATTGTGGCCAAGGCCACCTTAATGGAGAATACACGAATCTTGCCCGAATTGTCGGTGGTATATGCGGCTAACAACCAATTAAGTAGTAGACCAGCCTTGGAGTCGACAGGAACCTGTTGTGCTGTTGGCAGTCGTTTATTTAGATTGTGATATAGCGATGAAACCAATGTCTCCAGCCGGGCCACACTGACATCACTCTGTGGCTCCAAGGTGTTGAGGCCATTCTCGCGAAACGCCTCTATCACATTCCAGATATCGACCAAATGCAGATTTGTGGATTTTTGTATGTAGCGCAGCTTCGAGGCGGTACGATATGAGGCGAAGCGTATCGAATCGAAGGTTTGCAGACGCAAATCTTGTAGTAATGCCACCCGGGGTTCGAGTTCCATCATCTTGGCAAAAAGTTAAGTAACTAAAATTTAAAGAAAGGAAAACATTAAAAGTTGTTGTTTGATGTTGTTGTTGTTATTCCATTTTTTTGTGATTAGAAAAAAAGTTATTGCTTTCTAGTCCTTGTGTCCTTATATTTACGGAAGTTTTATGTAATGTTTCCATTTTACTTTTGCCAACCCCCTGCCCCAAACCCCTAACTATTTAAAGTCATTCCGTTACACACACACACACACACACATACAGATATTAGTTTTTCTTTTTGCGGAAATTGTTTGTTTGTATGTCACGACAACTGACTCATGACTGGAGCCTTGCAAATACTTTTTGTTGTTGTTGTTTTTGTTTTGCCACAACAGACAGGGGGACACAATACAACAATCGAGCAAAGGACAAAACGATATAAGAAGACATAAATATAGCAACATCGCCGACAACAACAAACAAATAAATGTTTTTATTAACATTTTGTTGTTGTTGCAAAACAAAATGTAGAACGAATCACAATATTATATTGGAAACAAAAACAATACAGCAGAAATAAAAGTAGAACATTAGGGGAATCTTTCGTCAACAGTGAGAGGGAGTAGGGAGGGAGAAAGGATGGGAGGAAAAAGAAATCATTTGAACCGAAAATTATTATTTTTATTGAAAAAAATCATTTTTTACTCTTTAATATAAAATCAGTAATAAGGAAAAGTTTTGGCGCCCAACATGGGTCTACAAATTTATTTTCAGAAATAAAGACAATTTTGGAGCCCAAATTTATTTTCAATTGTGAAGATAAAAAAATTAAAATCTAATTATAAGAAAAAAATAATTGAAATATTAGGGAAATGTTTTGGCGCCCAACGTGGTATGGATGATAGAAAAAATAAAAAATTATTATTTTTATTGGAAAAAATCATTTGTTACTCTTTAATAAAATAATCAGATATTGGGAAATTGTTGGCGCCCAACACGGGGCTATAGATTTATTTTTTAACAAATAAAGAAAATTTTGGCGCCCAAATTTATTTTCAATTCTGGATAATATGCGAGAAAATCCAAATATACTTAAAATGTTTGGAAAATATTTTGGCGCCCGACGTGGAGCTATTTTTTCTTACAGTACGGATGATGCGAAAAATAAAGCATTTAAACCGACAATTTTTCTTTTTATTGAAAAAAATCTTCTTTAAAATGAAATCAGAAATAAGAAACATTTTTGGCGCCCAACAAACAATTGAGAGATGTAAGAAATAAAATCGAATTATAAGGAAAATATAATTTAAATACTAAAGAAATATTTTGGCGCCCAACGTGGGGCTATTTTTTTTCTTACAATAAGGATGATAGAAAAAATATTATTATTATTACTGAAAAAATCTATTATTATTTTTGAAAAAATCTATTTTTAACTCTTTAATAAACAAAACTCAGATATTGGGAAATTGTTGGCGCTCAACATGGGTCTTCAAATATTAGTTTCAATTGTAATCGAATTTTATGGATAATAAAATTAATTAAAAATAAAAAAATCGAAATATAAATGATATAAAATCGAATTTTAAGGGTAATATAAATTGTAATATTTTGGCGCCCAACGTGAAGCTACAAATTTATTTACAGAAATAAGGAAAATTTTGGCGCCCAAATTTATTTTCAAATGTGAAGAATAAAAAAGTAAAATCGAATTATAAGGGAAATATAATTGAAATACTTAGTAAATATTTTGGCGCCCAACGTGGAGCTATTTTTTTTCTTAAAGTAAGGATGATGGGAAAAATAAAGCATTTAAGCCAAAAATTATTATTTTTATTGGAAAAAAAATCATTTTTTAACTTTTTAATAAAAAAATCAGATATTGGGAAATTGTTGGCGCCCAACATGGGGCTACAAATGTTATTTTCAATTGTGAACAATAAAAAACTCGAAATATAAAAAGGATATAAAATCTAATTTTAAGGGTAATACAAATTGTAATATTTTGGCGCCCAACGTGAGGCTACAAATTTATTTACAGAAATAAGAAACATTTTGGCTCCCAAATTTATTTTCAAATGTGAAGATTAAAAAATTAAAATCGAATTATAAGGGAAATATACGTATTTTTTCTTACATTTAATAAAAAAATCAGTTATTGGGATATTTTTGGCGCCCAACATGGTGCTACACATTTTATTTTCAATTGTAAACAATAAACAAATCGAAATATAAAAAATATAAAATCGAATTTTAAGTTTAAAAAATTGTAATATTTTGGCGCCCAACGTGGAGCCACAAATTTATTTACAGAAATAAGGAATATTTTGGCGGCCAAATTTATTTTCAAAGGTGAAAAAAATGAATTATAAAGGAAATATAATATAATATACTATATATAAATAATTATAATATATAAATATTATGTAAATATTTTGTCGCCCAAAAAATAAGCATTTAAGCAAAAAAATTAATAATTATTTATTTATTTTATTTATTTATTTTTTGAAAAAACAAAATTTTTACTCTTTAATAAAAAAATCAGATATTGGGAAATTGTTGGCGCCCAACATGGGGCTACAAATGTAATTTTCAATTGTGAACAATAAAAAAATCGAAATATAAAGGATATAAAATCGAATTTTAAGGATAATAAAATTTTAATATTTTGGCGCCCAACGTGGAGCTACAAATCTATTTACTGAAATAGGGAAAATTTTAGCGCCAAAATTATTTTCAATTGTGAATATTGAAAAATATAAATCTAATTATAAGAGAAATATAATTGAAACGTTAGGTAAATATTTTGGCGCCCAACGTGGATCTTTGTTTTTTTATAGTAAGAATGATTCAAAAATAAAGCAATTAAGCCGAACATTATTATTTTTATTGGAAATGCTCTTTATCTTCTGATTTCCTGCTGTTAATCTTTTGTATGTTGCCAAACATTTGTTTTTTAATTGGCGCCCAATATGGGGCTGTTTCAAAAATTCCTCATATTGCCAAAAAACTGATACAATTCCAATAAAATTGTATAAGAATAATATAATTTTGCAAATAAACAAAAAAATTAATAGGTTTTTGGAAGCAAAAATTAGTATACTGTGGCGCCGCCACTACAAGAAAGAAAAAAATTCTATTTTATTTTCTGTCATGATTTTTCAATGAATCACACATGACTGAAGGATAGTTACAGACATGGGTGTATCTTTGTGTCTCCACTATTGTTCGATTACAAGTTAGACAATATTACTAGGACTGTTGTCGCCATTTTCATGTAATAATAATAAATATGAAAAAAGGATGTAAAGGAGCATGAACATTTATGCAAACAAGAAAACTGTTTGCAGGATATTAAAGATGTTAATTACATAGCCATATTCGCTGCTAACAATAAACATTTAGTGCTAAAAGTAACTCATAGACCAAGAAGAGCATTTGACCCAAAAAACGAAAAACGAGGAAAAAACGGTTCGCATCACACCCATCCCCATGCGACTACTTCAAACTAAGAAGAAATTAGGTTTATTAAGTGGTGCTTGAGTCCATCTTCTACAGCAGCAGCCTGTCTGCACCGACTCCATACATGTTTTGTTGTAGTAGGATAAAAGACACCAGAGTTATCTTCACTACTCCGGCCCTCTTAGTCATCGTTCTTCTCATCTAACCTATCTAAACAATATTTAAGTTGGAGAATAAAAAAGAAATTAGGTTGAGATTTTTTCCTTTCACCTTCCATCTATCCACTATTTTACGGACAACTTCATTACAACAATGTGAGTATCTGTGTGTGGGAAATCTGTTTTGAAAATTTAGCAGCAGCCGAAGAAAGAAAAACTAAAAATGAGCAACAAAGCCATGGAAGAAGCAGTGGAAAATTAGAAAAAGAAACCTCTGCTCTGCTCTTGTCTTGGAATTTACCAATTTTATACTTTGCCACTGGAGCGTAATGAGATGTAGACAAGGAAGCAGCAGAAAAAGAAAACCTAAAGACAATGCATTGCTAATTGTGCCCTGATTAATCAAAAGCAAAGGAAAAACGAAGAAGAGAAGCGAAGAAGAAGTAGGAAGAAATTAGTCCAAGTATTTATTGATTTTCCGGGGTTAACTGCGGACGAGAAAATATACTCCTTTTTTTCAAGGAACCAAAATCAATTGTTTTTTTTTTTTTTTTTTTGGTAATATTAGGATTTTTAAAACAGCCTTATATTGGGCGCCAATTAAACAAAAATGTATGGCAACATGTAGGAAATCAGGAAATAACTTCCAATAAAAGTAATAGTTTTCGGCTTAATTGCTTTATTTTTCCCATCATCCCTGCTGAAAGAAAAGAAAAAAATAGCTCCACGTTGGGCGCCAAAATATTTACCTAATAATTCAATTATATTTCCCTTATAATTCGATGGGAGCCAAATTTTTTTTTTATTTCTGAAAATAAATTTGTAGTTCCACGTTGGGCGCCAAAATATTACAATTTTATTATATTTTAAATTCGATTTTATTTCCTTTATATTTCGATTGTTTTTATTGTTCACAATTGAAAATAACATTTGTAGCCTCATGTTGGGCGCCAACAATTTCCAAAATATCTGTTTTTTTATTAAAGAGTTAAAAATAGATTTTATTCAAATAAAACTAATAATTTTCCGCTTTATTTAGGGAGGATATTTTTAAAAATGTTTTTCAACGTTTAGATTTTTTAAACTTATTATTCCAAAGCCTAGAAATATTCGGGATTTTATTCAATATTTTTGAATAGCTTAGCAATAAGCCGATTTTTATTTTTAATATATTGATGGTCTAGATACCTTCAAGGATTATTTAATCAAATTTTTTTCAAGGCCTAGAAATAAACGGGGATTTTTTTAAAAATACTTTAGAAGGTCTAGATACGTTTTTGAAACGGTCCCATATTGGGCGCCAATCAATAGAAGTCGGTAACGAAAACAAATTGTATCATTTATTGATAAATTTTAGCAATTTTTTGAAACTGACCCATGTTGGGCGCCAATTAAAAGAAGTCGCCAACGAAAAAAAATCGACTAATAATGAGAGT